GAAAAACGATCAAATGCTTGCTGTGTAAGGAAATATTTAGGTCCGATTAAAGAGATACGCGCAACAGAAAATACCATGGAGACTGCATTCAACAGAGGAAACCAATTCCTTTTTGCGAGGCAAGTGAACGAGTTGTAACAAATCCTTTTGCTGCAGCTGCTAATGCTAAGAAGACAGTGCGCAAGAAGTTGCGGCGAGTATCCTTGATAATGCTGTTCAAAATAACATCGGCCAGTGTACAACAGAAAAAACTGAATGTTCAAATAGTGACGGACTTCTGGGTCAAGAGGTTTATCGAAGCTCTCCGATTAAAATAGAATCTGACTTTGAAGATGAACTGATTTCCGAAGACAACGAGGATTACGAAAATAGTGACAATGAGAGTAGTGGTCTTGCTACCGATAAAGTAGAGAGTTTACTTGGGGAACAAGCTGAAGATAAAGAGCCACCAGCTGTCAAATTACCGGGCCCCAGTGATCTCTCACAGAACTTGGAGGAAGGACCTGCACAGCCAATCAAATCTGTTTTTCCTGCACATCTTATTGGGAAAAATTTGAGAAGATTTTCATCCTCCTTCTACAGTAGACATCCGTGGCTGGAGTATTCAGAGATTTCTGATGCAGTTTTTTGCTATGAATGCCGCCACTTCGGAGTAAAAGCAAGCCAGGAAACAGCTTTTATAGAAGAAGGGTTTAGACAATGGGAAAAAATGTTACGGAACTGAGAGCAGTTTAAAGAAGCACGAGAGGAGTGAGGCCCATAGAAGTTCCGTTCTTCAAAGAGATGCTGCAAACATAATTAAAAAGACGTGCAATTCTAAGGCCACTGTTCTGTCATACTCGGAGATGCCTATAAACGCACTGTTGAAGAGAATCGGCATTATATGAAGACTATTTGCGACATTCTTCTTCTAACAGCAACTCAAAAAATTGCGCAGAGAGAATCAGGCTCCTTGTTCCGTACGTCGCACTGTGACCGTGATTCTTTTTCTTATGGGGAACACTGTGGAAACTTCTTGTCTATTTTGTCTCTTGTTGCAAGGCATGACCCAATCATTGCGAATAAGATGCAAAAGGGACCCCGGAATGCAAAATACACGCATCACAGCATCCAGAACGCACTTTTGGCAGACATTATGGCAGTCATGATCCAACAAGAGATAAGAGATCTTTGTCGACGAATGCAAGGACGTTTCGAAAAAGGAACAGCTATCTATAGTCTTGCGTTACATGTTTCAAGGAATGATTCACGAAGAGTTTATTGGAGTGCAACCGGCGCAAGGTTAAGATGCAGATCAACTTGCTTCAACGATTGTCAATTTTATCAAAGAAATCCGGGTTTCTCCAAAGATGTGCGTTGGCCAAGGATAGGATGGGGCATCTGTAATGAGAGGTCACATTAACGGTGTTAATGCTATAATCAAAAACGCTATGTATTTGTCTTCCTTAAAAAACGCTATGTATTTGTAAGTGGGAGTGCCATTCATATCAAATGGATAAAAAATCAAAAGGAACTTAACTTGAAGCCAATGGAGTTACAAAAATTGTCCGATACACGATGGTCATGTCAATATCGTATGTGTAGTATTGTGTTCAAAAAAATTTCTGCACTCATCAAGCTGCTGCATGATATTTTCAAATTTGATAAGAATCGTGAGAGAGCCCGATGCCTACGTGGAATGATAAATAAGGAATTTTGCATTCAGCTGGTGTGTCTGAAAGAGCTCTTAAAGCATTGGAAGACGACCTCTGACTTCTTACAAAATGCCCAGAATTCACTTGCAGATGCAGCAGACATTGTAACAACGATGATTGAAAGTGTAGAGGGTCTTCGCCCTGGAGAGGCATTTGATGCTTTGGTCAAATGATTTAGTTGAAAAATAAGGGTTACCATATGAAAATATCTCGGCTCGACCAAAGCAATTTCCAAAGAGGTTTGATGCCTCAATTGTTGACACAACGGTGGGAAGGAGCAATTTCTCAGATAATTTCAGAACGACATTTTTTACCCTGTTTTAGACAGATGTTTGTCGGAGCTTCATCGTCGCTTTAGTGAGGAGAACATATCAATAATGAGAGGTGTTGCTGCGTTAAGTCCGGGATCTGATGTCTTCTTAAAATAGAAATACATCGAGCCTCTTGCCGAGATGTATCAAAGTAACGTAGACGATCTAAAAATTGAGGTTCGCAATATTGAAAGATTACTTGCACGAAAAGAAGCAGGGAATCGTCCGGATGCCCTCACCGAGTTTTCTGCACTTGCCGGCCGTTTGCGAGATGCATTCTTTGAGCTTGATCGGTTGCTCAATATTGCGTGTGTTGTGCCAGTATCAACTGCATCTTGCGAGAGGTCTTTTAGTACAATGAGGGTTGTTAAAAACTACATGCGGAGTAGAATGACTGATCCACGCTTGAAAAGTCTGATGATTATTGGAATTCAGTCAAAGCGGACCAAGATGCTTGACCTTGACGACTTTAAAAGAAGGTTCCCGAATAGTAAAATCATGCTATCTTAGGCAGAAAGCAAATACTAAATGGTTAAGACTTGCTTAATAAGTAAAAGTTTGTATTATATCAAACTGGAACTCTTTGAAAAATTTTTAGTTTAAAGAAAGTTTACACGATTGGATTGACGGATAAAAACTTTCTTATCTTCGTTAATTTTTGAAACATTGCTTAACGTTTACTGTAATCATATAGCAACTTTGATCATTAAGAAGTCTTGAATTGAACAATTTTCTGGATGGACCTCTTTGTAAGAAGCAGAAACTGTCACTCATATTCACTTAAAGGTATTTTGCTTATAAGAAATGACAATATTTTACCATTACAGCAAGTTCAACACAGCAAAACATCTCCAAAAACTCCATTCGATTTTAAAGAAATGTTCATGAAATCTGTCGGCAAAATTTTCAGATAATCGTCGGCACTTGAATTTTGATGAGACTGTCGGCACATCATGTTTTGGTTTCTAGCGCCACCCCTGCTTTTGATCAATTGTCTGAAACTGATAAATCCAAAGCAAAGAAGAGTTTCTTGAATTATTGAAAGTAGCTATTAAGGCTCTTGGAACTTTTAAATATGTAAACTTTTTAGCAAGTTTTACTCCACGTGGCCCTCCTCCACTTTTCAAAAATAGAAGTAAAGTACTTATTTGCAGCTCATTGAGGTGCCTCTTCTTTGTCGACATGTGCCATCCTCCTTTTGAAATGCTTTCTACTTTGATTTTTACATAATTTGACCTTTGAAATAAAGTCACCACACAAGCAGAGACGGTGGAGCAATTTTTAGAGTGGTGGGGCTCTAGAAAAGTGGGGGAGACCTGACAAGAATGTCAAAAACTCTTTCTTATAACAAGAGGTGTAACGAGTGTATGAATTGTTAAACAAGGGACTTCCCAAAAAGTTTTCAAGAAAAAGGAGTTGTTCAAAAGGGTTACTTTTTGCATTCAAAAGACCTGCCGAGCCCACTTAGCCCACTGAACCCCAGCTATACACCCTTGCCCGTTAGCTCTTTTGTTGAATACAGCTGAAATTTTACACAATGAATAAAAATTTTCACATTAGGCAGAAAAAAGGAAGTAAATCTTTTGTTCGCAATTTTCATTGTTTAAAAACATGAAAACTCATCAATTATTTTGTGGTTCACATGTACACTCTTTTTTAAAAGAACAATTTTATAAGAACACGAGCCTCAGAATTGGTTAAAAGTTGAGAAGAAATTCAGAACAAGCTGAGGCTGAATTACTGCAAAATGCAATTTATACTATGTTTCCAGGGACTATTGTTTTATGGGGCACTCATTATGCTAGCGTATCTTTAACGGACCGGCGGGAGGTTGGCGGAGGCTTTAGGGATATTCGAAAGAAGTGGCCAGAAAATTTCCAAGACCACGCTTTCTAGATTAGCTTGAAATACATTTCAGAATATTTCTTGCAGGTATTTTCCAGCAATCGTTTAAAACATTTTGTTATTTTCAAGGCATGCTCTTATTACGTTTGATTAATTCAAGTCTTAAAATTGAATTCATTACTTTATGAGGCCCCATAGACCTCGGCGTATTCCTTGGAAATTAAGCAACTAAAGAATTTGTCAGATTATTCTTTTCTTTATATCTCTTCCTTTGCTCTTTTTATTTGCTTGAAAATACATTTTGCAAAAAAGTGCGGGGGGGGGGGCTGAAGCCCCCAGCTCTCCACCTGGCGCCGCCTATGTTTTATCGGTCGATCTCGAACGGAGAAAGTTCTTGACAAGTCATGAGAAATGTACTGCGCTTCTTTAAGCATCACTTAAAAAATTATATTTCGTATTCCGTTTTTAGAAGCAATTTGATGGAATGATTATCACACTATCCTCATTACGACGAATGTAGTTGAAAATACTTGCATTTTCATACATAACTTCGTTTTTTTCTGTTTTGCGGCACCTCTCATTCTTTTTAGGACTGCCTTTTACCAAACAACTAATTTCTTTTGAACTTATACCTTTCTTATGCTTCTCTTTGAGCTACAGTTCACAAGGTCGTTTGAGTCAAAACTTCAATTTTCACAAATGATTCAAATTTTCTCCGATTAACCTAGCTTTCTACCAACAGCTTTAAATTTTCAGACTGTCCTCAAATTTTCCGACTGGATGAAAGATTAGGGGATGTCACACCCCCCACACCCCCCAATATTTACGTGCCTGAATGTTTTATCTCAAAAACAAGAAATTTTTTGTCATAACACTTTTTTGGCAAACGAGGCCAAGACACCTCGCTAGAGCGCAATAGCTAGGAATTGCACTGCTTGCCCCCGATTTAAGAAACAATTAAGAACAATCAAGCCTAAACTTCAATTTACTGGTACTTTAAAAAGGGTAGGTAGATAGGAAAACGAGTGAAAACAAGATGTTACCGTGGTTTTTGCCACACCTGGAACTGGGACACCCCAGTCCACATGGCCCGAAGTTGGGTCCCTGGGAGCCTTGCGGATTAGAGGAAATGAAATCTCCTCCACAGCATTCTTAGCAAAGCTTGAAGATTGTTGATAAAAATGTCGATACCTGCCAACGGGTTGAGTGCGATAATCAGCCAAACAACGCATTAGAATAGCAAAGGATGATAATTTATTGAAAGTTCACAACCTTGCTAAGTTTGAACGCGAGTGGTCTTTGATTCTATACAAACTGACACATTAGGAGCTGTTTTGTTTTGATAAAGGCGCACTTAATTGCCTTGGCTAGGCCGGTCAAGTTTGACAAATGTTCAGGATAGATGTTTCAATAAAAGTAATTTGGAATCAGCCTTCTGGACAAGCTGTACTGGAATGAAGGACCGGCTTGGAGAAGTAACGATGAATCACAGTAGTCGTGAAGCAAGTGGAAGGACACATGCCTCGAGACAAATGATTAACGACCTAGAAACCAAAGTGGATGTTCGGTTGTCTTTTCCCAACATGGAACAGGCTGAAAAATCTCGAAGGGCAAGAGCTCGAGAAGCCATGGAGGTGGGTTTTTGATTTCATAGAAAATTTAATGTTTGTTAGTTATGTTTATTTTTCGTCTGAAAAAATATTCTTCTAAAAAGAAAACGAGGAATCTTAACTTACTGCTGAGACACATAGGGATGGGTCCATTGATTGGCTCTTGGCCAGGCCATAGTCTGCCCAAGGCTATAATAATCAGTCGATTTTCTGCCAAGAGGATAAATTAGGCTATATCCAAATGTTTTCAGGCAAAGTTTCAAAACAGTTTTATTTTTATTTGTAGACATATACTTTTTTGGTGTTAAAACACTAAAATGTTATTATCAGAAAAGAAATTGAAATTTTGGACACGCAACTTCGCTGTGATTACGTACGTGTCTGGCGTAAACAATACCAAAGGCAACCGGTTGTCCCTTTCAAACTGATTGTGATATTTTCCATTTGATTTGATGAAATACAGTTCAATTTTACTAAAAGTCAGTTTGATATTCAAATTTTCCCCTGATATCTATGTTTTGATTATTTATTCCATGTTTTACTTATTTAGTTTTCAAATTATCTTTTATATTGTTTTAAATCTGTTGTGACCAGCGATAATTGCATATAATAATGGTTTGCAAGTAACTATTATTGTTGGCTTGAAAAGAATTACAGCAAGATGCCTAATCAATCACTCCCAAACTGTTTGATATTTGCAAAATTTAGTATGCATACCCCTAACAGCACTTTGTTTATTCAAAGAAGCACAATATGTGTTTGATCTAGTTTGGGTCAACCATGCTGTAGGTGAATTAATTAACTTTTGATACAATGTTTTAAGAATCAGGAGTTTTGACCAGTTCATTCAAAATATTCTAGCATATGGGAGTCTATTTTGTAAATGTTTATTATTGATATCTTGACTTCCTTCCTTACCCAGTCAAGGACTGCTATTTCTTCAATAATCTTACATTGGTGCAAGGAAATGATTTGTTCTGTTTTACTTCCTGGCCATTGTCTAGGTTTATTCATAAAGAAGATCTTTATTTGAGCTGTCTAGGTCTTGAGGCACTGCATGCCCTGTAGAACAATTATTGATCTTATCAAAACAATGTGCATCTTGTTCAAAACAATGTACAGAGCCAATGTTGAAACAAAATATTTTATATCTAAAAGCATAATGTTTCACTTGTCCTAAAACAAAATTTGTGGCACCCAAAAAGGGATAAAATTGTGGCTTTTAGAGGTAATATCATTGAAACTTCAAAAATATATATTTTTAAGTACCTTGTATTCCGAAAATTAGCCCAGGTGCTGAACTCCACATATTTAATTTTATGTGTTGGTGTGGCTACCTAATGGTCTCAATCATACCATTACATGGACTTAATTTGCAAATTATATCATAGATGGAAAATTTTTTTGTTTAGAGATTTATAAATTGCCTCATTAAATTAAGATTATCATACCAGAATATTATGAGGGAGAAATAAGAAAACCAGAGCATTTATAGATCAATGTGTGCTGCAATCATTGGGAACAATTTTAAGTAAGGAGAAGAAAACATCCATCAAATGGATACTAAAGTAAAGTATTATTTAAATTATCAGTTTATGTACAATCATGTAAATTATCAGATGTATGAAGTGCCTTAAATGAATAAACTATTTTTGCTACTTTTTAAATGCTTTTTTGTCTGTATTATTTTGAATTATAAATTTTTAAAGTGTCAATTTAAAAATGTTTCAGTTTAGTTGCTTTAAAAAGTTGTATTTGTTTCTCACCAAGATAGCTGATTTGGCATGTGTAATGTGAATTCTTGATTTTTTTAATTCATCTCAGGTTGTCAACCCATCTTTGGCTCACAAGATCATTTCAGAGGTAACATCATATTTTTTGTGAATTGTTTTCCACAAATGATTTATCCTATGACATATTAAGTATAAAGCTATTTGAGTTTAATATTAAGATTATATTTGAAGAATAGCCTTGCATATGGAAAGAGAGTAGAAGTTGTTCTGTCTGTTTCTATGCCATCAAAGTGTAGATTGGGTTTTCAATAGTTGCCCTTTGTTCTAAATGATGCTTTCCAATTCATTTTGAATGTTTAATGCTGCTAGACTGCAACTCTTTGCCTATCCCCAAATATTTTATTGCTGGCTCTAAAGTTGTGTCTATCAGCCAAAAATAAGAAATAACAATCTGCGAAAGTGACAGACATACCAGGTGCTGTAAAGTTTAAATTTTTTAGATTGATTTTCAGTTTATAAGGTCTTCTAAATAGGGGCATTTTTAGAGGCAGAGGCAAAGTTAATATTCAGACTGTTTAGCACTAACTTAGTAAAATCAATTGTTAGAAATTTATTACGGGAAGGACTTGCTTTCTTCCACAGCTAGTAAATACTGTTCTCCTAAAGGCTAAAACCCTCAGTTGCTGCTGTCATAAACTGTGTCTTGCACTTCTTGGCTAACTGGCTAGACAATCTCTTCTGTGCAATTGACCATAGAACTCACTTAATCAGTAAAAGTTTCAATGGGTAGGACTTGTTTAAGATCCCTTTCAGATTCATTTTATTATGTTATCTATTCAAGGTCCGTTTCACTTGAAAAATACTGAATAATTTGCAACCACAAACCAAATCTCTGAATATGAACACAACATATATTTGAATTAAATTCTTTCCATATGGAATACATCTTTACATAAAGTGTCATGAAAAAATAATTTTGTTGATATATTTGTGTTCAAATGTTTGTTGATTATTCAAGACTTTGATAACATCCTGTTCAAAAGCTCATTTATTTTATCTAATGCAAAATGTGATTATATTTCTTCCATTTCTATCACCTTCTTGTAGATTTTAACACATTTAAATTGACTATTTTGTTAGATTCAAAAGCCTTTATATCAAAACAACATTTAAAGTATCTCAGTTGATATGGAAAGCAGCATATTATTCCAAGTTTTCACTTAGCTTTTTTGTCACACTCTAGCTTCTTGCTAGTTTTCCTTTGCCCCTAGCTTGTGGTTATCGATTTCTGTTTGTTAGCTTATCCAACCGTCTTTAACCAGTCACCTGCTACTAGAATCTTGTCAGCAATCACAACAAAACCTTAGAAAGATATTTCCTAAATGGAAAAAATTACCAACTTTTTACTGAAATTATAATCCCTGAATATGCTGATCAAATGTTTTTCTACAGTAGACCTTACTTTCTACCTTCAAAGTAATAATGCCTTTCTTATTACTATATCCGTTAATCTGCTCTCCTAAATTGGTATGCCCTAGTTCCGACGAATATGTTTTCTGATGAGAGACAGGCATGCCAGAGGCGGGAGGGGGTGGACTAGGAGGGGGCACTGTAGCCCCCTCACGTTTATGCTGAAGTATGATATTAATGATGTGGTATCAAGAATAGGTAGAAATAGTTACCATTAAAATTTGCTAATTCGGCTAGAGCCTCCTCTCTCCAAAATCTGTTCCAGCATCCCTGAGAGAATCACCCCCCCCCCTTCTTTGTTAATAACCGCAAGAAGAGGGGACTTGCATCACCCCTTAGAAGAATCTTATCTCCTCAGCAAGATGATTCTAAAAGTTAATGTTATTACAGCTATTCCAAAAAGTAATCGACTATCCACTGAAGCATGCCCAGCTGTTGCTAAATTGTCACTGTGGCCCCTCCCATTGACCCGTAGTCCTAATAAAGAAAAAATGGCGGCAAGTCGTCGATTCGTCCATGCAAGATGTGTTTCATTGTTTGGAAAACACCCCAAAGATTATCTTGGACTTTTCCCCAGCATCAATCTGGTTCAATAGCAATAGCCTATTGTGACAGAGGACTATTCTTCGCTCTGTAGCTAGTTTGTGTAAACATTGAGGTGAAATCTCTCTTGTCTAGACCACTGTTGTTAAAATCGCCTGTAATACTGTTTAATCGTTGGTTTGTTTCACTATAATGTTTAGGACGGTGTCTTGAGCCGAGAGGATAAAGCTGCCGTACATATTCAACGAATGTTCAGAGGGTACCTCGCAAGAAAAAGATATTTTGAATTGCTTTATGAGAAGTTCATTCGGGTAGGTTTTTTAAAACTCTTTACTTCAGTAGAACTTTCTTATAAAATGACAAGAGGAGTGTTTTCAAGTGCAAATGTCAGACTGGATTAGTAATAAGATGACATATAAGACAGAAGCGGATCAACGACTTTATTTATTATTCACTATATTAAGATTTGAATCGAGAAACGCTTAATTATATGCTGTTTGAGAATGAGGAAGGGGTGGATGGGTGTGAAGGGTGCTGCCAGGAAGGACCCATTCAAACAGCTCCTCGATGCACCAAGAATTTTCAGCAAGTCTAAAATTAGAAAGTTAAAGCTGAGGCTAGCCGTTGCTAGATCTCTCGAGCTCACCGGCCAGATTCTTCCAGGAATTTCAATAAGAATATAATTTGCAAGGGGGCTGGTAGAGTGACTGGAACTGATGACAATTGTCAACCTTAAGTGAGATCTGATAACATCAAGCAGCAGAATTATCGGCTTTTAGTTTTCTTTTGAATGACTGCAGGAGATCTACTGGTTTAAAAACCTTTATGGATTTTTTTATCAGTGCATGTCATTACCATACTCTGGCTTTGGCTTGAAAATGTCTTGAGGGGCATTTTTTTTATAAGAAACAAAGGTCGATGTTTAGTACTCCAGTTTTTTAATGTTCTGGAAATTTCAATACTCATCGTTTCTTAAAAGTTTCTTAATTATGATATCATGAATGATGTTATGAAATGTCTGTGACCTTTTTTATCACGTCAAGAGATTCGCTTCCGTTCCGATGCTGTATTTGGATGTGGGAAGTATATTTTTATTCCTTGTGTCTCAAATTCTAGGCCAACAGGGCAACTATGTTCTTGGATTTTACAAAATTTCGTTGTTCTCAGTTTTATCATGATTTAATAGTTTCTTAATTTTTATGCTTCGAGTACTGAAGTTTCTTATTTTTTTCTGACTGTCCAGTACTCGTTTCTTATAGCCAGTTTCTTATAATAAAAAAATGAGTATAAGTGTCCATTTGTATGGAAAATTTCAAATGCGATAAGGGGACATAGATTCAACAGCATATGATGATTAATGCCTAACAGTCTTTTGATTGGCTGAATCAATGCAAGTTGATAACTGATATCGCTACTGGCTTTTGACTGGATAACTAAACATCCAGGTCGTCTTCGTTTGCATTGACGCAAATGCTTTGGAACCATCTGCTGCAAGGATCAACTATTAAATAGCCTCAATCAACAATCTTTTACCACAAAATTAGTCTCAGTTTTTAGCAAGTTCGACTGCATAATCGTTCTCATGATGATAAATTAACCTCTGATTTTAATTCCAGAAGTGGTTTGTGTCCTTCACACAAACGTACGCGTTTATATTCTTGCTTTCGTCATTTGACAAGTCAGCGTCAGAGGCGGATCTAGGGGGGTGCTATGGGTGCTTGAGCACCGGTCAGAATTTTCGGAGATATAACATTTAAAGCATTTTCTCTAATCTCTGAAAAACGTCTTGAATCCTTTTAGATGATGTAAATGTATTTTCCAGTAAACTGATGACATACGGTCATGCGTTAATTAGCATAACCTGTATCTGCTTTAAACTATAGATAGCTAGAAATTTCATGTCGAGCTGCCCTGGAACCAATTTTTTTACTTGTCCATCAAACCACACTCTCGGCCAATGAGCTACTTCAATTCTACGGGTGCTTGAGCACCCCTATCAATCAACCTCTAAGGTCAAAGTTGCAACTGAGCCAATCACATCACGCTCTGATATGTTTTTCTGCAATGTCGAGCACCCCTATCAATCAAAACAAGGCTTCAACCAATCCGTTTCCCAAATTTCGGCTCATCTGAGCACCCCTATCAATCATTTAATATACACTGGTGCATACCGTCACTGAAACGACTAAACCTGTTCGTGTAGCAGCAATGGCGGACATAAAGTCGTTGCTGTTGCAGATGTTCTCGATTATTGGTTGCCAGTCGACTGAAGAAATTGAAACGGAAAACGAGCTTTTGAGTATTCAGTCAATCGTGAGAGGGGTTTTTGATAAGAGCGTGGTGGATGGTGTCGTGACTTGTGGAAATACACAGATCGATGAGTTCGCTGAACTGCAAATGCCAAAGGTTCAAGTACTGTCCCGTGGAAGTTCTGACCTTCGGCCTTTCAGGTTGGTAGTTTCCTTTACCAGGCTTTAAATGCAAAACGTTTTAACAGAATATTTCTTGGATTAATTCGACAAAAATATCGAATTTTACAGAGAAAAATGCCCACCCCCAAAAAAATTGTGCCAAGGATTTTTGGTTGTTGGGGTGGTATGGTAATTACTACCAGAATGAATTCGATACCCATTTCTTGCCAAATGCAGATGACCCCAAAAACGTACTACTTCAACACAAGGTACTTAGTAAAACAATCAATTTTTGTAAACAAATTCTTACAAGTATTGATTTAAAGGCATTGAGTCATGGTAAATAGGCCTTCTCTATAGGGGTCATTTGGAATCGGCGTGATCGCTGCTGTTTCATGTGATACTTGCATTCGTTGTTGACAACTTGCTATTGATGGAAATTGTTTTGTCAATCAGTACGAGGTCAGTTATGAAAATCACGACTCAGCGGATTCTGGCACTTAGGGTATACCCAATCCATTTTATCATGACTCGATGATATTTAACTCAATTTTCGTATAGTAATGGTCAGTTAACGTATCAATGATTCATTTTGCTTTTTTTTTTTGAAACATTTTAGCTGCCTTTTTACAAAAATGAACCAGCGTCTGAATATTGCAGAGCAATCAAATATTGACTAACGACCTAAAATGTCATTCATTGATTAATGTGATGTACAAACTGCGAAGGTAGCAGTGTTATTTTTAACTAGCATTGCTAGCAAATAGGCTTCTAACAAAAGAGATAATTTTCTATATAGTTATGCTTTAATACCTGAATTTAAAAAAGATTAATTTATCAAGATGGGTGTTGCCTTCATTTAACCGTAAAAAAAAGTAGGGTGTGGCATTATTATGGCTATTAAGGCAACGCCCTTAAGCACCCCTCAGATTTTCCGCTGGATCCGCCTCTGAGCGTTATCCTGTTAATAAAGCCATAGTTCTCATACGTCTTGAGTTTTTTTAAGAATTTTTTTGCATGCAAACGAAAAATCCTAATACCCCTGCGCTACCAAGTTTGATTAAATCCTCGTAAAAACTTTAAACAAAGCCGTTCTCACTCTGTGCAATGCAGTTCTTCCTGAGGTTGGTAAGGTAACCCTCAGAGTTTACTCAATTCCTTATTTTGAAATATGTCTTCAATTTTTGTGGAAAGCTAGTATCACGTCCAACCCACACCTTCTAATTTAGAATCCACCCCTTCTAATTTACTTACAGAAAACTCCTTGTGCTACGTATTTGTGCCTCTAACTTTAAACGTACGACTCAGTAGGCCTGAACCAACCCTGACGTCTTTCAGTGCTGTTAAAGCTGCATTCATACCTGATGAAGGGCACAGCTTGGCAATGGTGGGGGCTACCGCCTCCAGCCTCTCTTTCGCTTCCGACGGCCATGCTTCTTTGCTTTGACGATTGGTGCTAAAAAGAAAGATCTTTTTGCGTTTTTCGGATGTCCACTTGTAATTACGGTCATTTTAATAGGGTTATGCTTGAAATTCAAAGATTACTCAGCCTGGAAAGCCAAGATACACAAAAACGTACTTGGAGAAGATTCAATTTATAAATTGTCTGTTGGTATTATACTCATTCACTATCCACAGTAATACGACGGAGAATTCCTTAGAAGAAAAGTCGTGGTCAATCTTTTCACTTTTTTTAAATAGCTTTTAACACGCCTAGTTTTTCATCCAATTGGGCTTTTGTGCTGAAATTTTAAACTGCTTTGAATGACAATGAAAAGATATGGTTTAGCTCCGTGAACGAAAATGGGTGATCATGTTGTTTCAGTTACATAAAGCAAAGTTATCATAAGTTCTAGTGCTCCCTTTGGGAAAGTCTGTAAAAACAGCCAACTTTCAGAAAAAAAACCGTTTTTAACTTTTTTACGAGTGTTTCAATTTTAGTATCTTGTAATTTGTTTTTGTAGGTTATTTTTTGTAGCTGGCCTAAATACTGTATATGAATCAACCATATAATAAGCGCTATTTATGCTCCAGTGACTAGTGTCTTGTGCTAGATTTTTGAGACAAAAACCTGATGTTGTACAAATATTTGTTTGACTTAATATGGAACAGTAATATGGAACTTAATAAGGATCTTTTGCGAAATTTATGTTTTATTTTTGTCTTCGATACTCTTGCTGCCATTGCATCAAATATTGCTATATATTTAGTGGTTAAAATTTGGAGATTAATAAGCTCAAACAAAGAATTTCGTTCATTAAATTAGGGTTTTCGTTGGTGGCCTTCTCATTTGTTGAAACTATTTGAATTCGCAGTTAATACTCGCCCATGTCCCTGGTTCTGATTTTCAAACCTATTCAGAATTCGTTCTGATAATCGCCTTGTTTTACTGCCGATAATTTAAGAACCCAACTGTTCAGATAAGGATGTTCTTTGCAATATGGGTTTATCTTTTACAGGTATATACCGGTATCTATCTGTAGCAGCGTTTAATTGCCATCATTTTGCTCTTTATCGATGTGGTTTGATAGTTTTGATGATTTCTGGCAGCTAAAAGATAGTTATCATTTATGCTATCTGATTCCCCGCTAGCAGATAGCTTGTGGGTACCCAATTTTTTAAAATCTGAAGTGTGTCTGACAAAGTTAATGGTATTTCTATTGTTTATCCTGTTTTTATCTTGCAACAAGAATGCTGACGTAGATATTCGAAAGGCCATGCATCACCAGCATGAGATTTAAGTTTTAGAAGGTTTAGCAAACTTCTTTATTTTGCAGGAGGAAGCAGAGATGGAGGAAAGGCGGCGCCAGCAAGTTGAAGAAGGAGAGCTGCTCATCGAAAAGTAAGCTCTTCTGTGTAATCATCAATCTAACTCATCCATTATTATCATCATTGTCGTAAACATCATCATAATCATAAATCATCATCATAATCATAAATCATCACCGATCATCAATCATTATCATCATGAATTATTATTATTGTTATTATTATTATTATTATTATTATTATTATTATTATTATGTTCATCATTTTAATCAATCATCATCATAACTTGATCATCTTTAATCATCAATCATGATCATCATCAACTTAATCATCTCATGGTCATCATCACCATCATCATCATTTTAGATAAATTGGAAAACGTGCGTTTGTCAGTAAAAATGCGGGAGCTTTCGTCTTTGCGAAATGCCTGATATGCAATTTCTGACAAATAATTTAGAATGATAGCTAGACGGCTTGTCGGCTTTCGACTGTCTGGTGTACGATATGATAAATACAGGCAACAAAAGGGGTTAGGAGAAATCTGATCAAAACAGCGCGAACTTGGTGAATGGATCATTGAGATTTCATTTGAAGACAGCTGTATCAGATCGATTAAGGTCGTAGTTTGCATGAAAGCTCAAGGCAAGCGGCAGCGTTGTAATGAGAATGCCTCTAATGCTGCAGGTTTTCATGCAAACAGGTGCATTATAAATGCATCGGATTCCTCGCCGGTCCTTTTTAATACGGATAATCTTGGCGTGAAGACGTGTCTACGCCCGCTATCTAATGAATTTATTCTCAAATGCTTGTAAAATGCATTTCTTTTCGATGGTATCAGGAATGCTTGCGGATTAAGTAACGCTGACGGCATCAAAAGTTAACCGATTATGGTTTTGTTGTCGTTGTATTTAACCCTTTAATTAAATGCAAATAAATTTTTTTGCGATATTAAACCATGGTATGAATATAGGGGACGAGAAAACATGCACTCTCCAAAATACATGCATTGCCATACGCAAATATTTTAACGCTCATACGTCAAACATATACTCAAGTTTTGCAAAACGCCTGAGAACCCGAAGTATAAACTACCAATAGACTATTGATCGACAAAATACCACATTCGCAGCAGGGCGTTCCAAGAATTTTTGTCAGCGATTGTAGGTATTTCCCTCTGTCAAATGAAGAGGTATCTAAAATTTCACAATGTTTTGATAAGACAAAAAGCGGAGCGAAAACGGTGTTTGATTTGAAGCATGTTTAATGCTGGTCTCTGAAATATACCCAGCCTAACTATCGAGATATCTATTCAAAATTTTCAAATGAAAACTTTATTTTCATTTAAATATGATAGTAGTTAACCAAAATTTATCTCGGCTTGTTCCCTGGAATACTCAACTACAGTTTCTGTAATACTGTTATTTGTTTGGCGCCGCAAATCTTGTGATAAGACTTTTTCGATTTCATTCAATCATTTCTCATGTTAGCCACTGTTTATGCACTGAGAACAGCCTGAGTTACCTTGGTATGCTAAGAGGCTATGAAAACCAGTTTGCGCAAAAGAACCGCCCAACGCGACTGATATTTGGATCCGATGCTCTATCATATTCATGTTCAGATTCGACATTTTGTTAGGAAAATGATTTTTTCAAACAACGTCACAGTAGCTAATTCCACATTTCTCTACCGGCTACTAAGAAGCTCATCATCTGTCAATCACCTGTGTTATTTTCACCCAAATTTTCTTTCGAAAATGAATTCCTCGCACCAAACGTAATTGCTTTTAACTGTGTCCATTTTCGTATGGGCGTAGAAAATCGTTGTCCGCCCACGAACATATCGGACGTATAAGTCTAGCTGCTGCAATCGATTTTCTCTCATTGTGACTTCGTTACCAAAATGAAGTTAATGACGTCACAAGATTTCAAACAAACTACAGGTTGATCTCAAAGTAGGTCATGTACTGCTACAGAGCTGGTGTAGGAAATCTGTTAGGTCTAGTGGTTTTTATTTATGAAGGGAGTCGCCAAGGATTGTCAGCAGCAGAGGACCTTTCCTGGGAAATTTACACGGAGATGCCGATAAATAGGTCTTGAAGATGCTTACTTATACGGTCTGAAATGAATCTGATCTCTGTTCAGATCTCATAACGACTGAATCAGGTCTCTGTTCTGTGATTTGGGTACGGTCGGAAAAGAAGGCCATCATTACAAAATCTTACGCCGTCACTGCACAACTGGAGCTCGGCACGCGAACAAAACGGCCTAAGCATTGGTTTGCTTTACTAAAGTAATCTTTGCTATCATTTCAATATTATACATTGCGAAATAGTATGTTTTAAAAACAATTAGCATAGCTGAGTGCTTTTGTCCGACCCGAGGCACGCCTATCCTCGTATTCATGCATGAGTTAGCTAGTGAATAATTAACGTGACGTCTCTGTAATGGTTTGAATTAGTTAAAAGAACGGGCACTGATGAGGATAAAAGAGTTTGACAATTGAAACAGGAACAGGTGTTTCTGCAGCATAAATCTTATGAAGTACCACTGTGATTAATACAGTAATCGAGTAATGTCTTGCATTCGCACTGGCATTTTCACTAGCATGGCGTAATACGACTGTTCGGTCGGATCGGCGCACATAAGTTACGTGGCCTGTCGTTAACCCGTAAGTACGTTTACCGTTACGCCTATCTCGTTACATTTTGCCACAAATGCGCCACAGTTAACGTCGAAAATTACAAACCAGCCTGATAGTTTTCATCGTTACCGTGACAAATTTAGGCAAACCGATTCCTCGTTACGAATTGCACCCGCTAAGGACTGTCATGAATTTCAGTAGTCCTGACTTCACTTGCGTAAAAATATATTGAGATTCTGCTTTCATCGAGTATTAGATATTTCGTCTTTTCTTTTGATTTCGATTTTGCTGTACGATTGAAGATTATGTCATATTCACCCCTATCGTTCTGTTGTTAACCTTTGTAGGCCTAAAACTCTTTGGCGTACTTTTTCGTTCTACAGTCAGGAGGAGCCTTTTGTATCTAAGTGAGACGATAAGTTTTCGTAAATCCATTAGAAGAAGCAAAATCATTCATACGAAATACAATCATATTTAGCGTCAAATAAAAAAATTCACAGTTTATGTATGCAGGGATCAAAGCTCAGCGCTAAATAGTAACTTGTGGGAGGAGTCTAACGCATGTGATTACATTTTCAATGATTCTGCACAAATTATAAACATGCTTATCAACCTGTTATTGAAGTTTAAATTATTGTAGAAATATAAAATGTGGGATAAGCAATACTAGTTGTTCGTTAAGCTTTGTATCCTGTATACTTGAATGGAACCTAATTTTTGCTCTACATTCAATTTCTGACGATTCCTTGTGACTTAAATTGATGTTAATGTAGTGTAGAGCACTCCACCATTTATTGTGTATTATAGCGATCCCATGCCAAATCTTGGGTCAATAGCTCTGACTTAACAGGAGAAGAGCAGTAATTTGCCCCAGGGTGAAGCTTGGCCTTCCTACGTATGTCATTTTCAATAATTCTTCGAGTGAGTCCAGAATTTCAAAATGAAAAACTTTAATTCCACTTTAGTTTCCATAGGCTTTGTTATTCGGCCGGTCTGTCTCTCGAATGTTAAACTAAGTTGTTGCTTTAAAAAGCTATCTAGTTCTAGACATAAACATAAAGAGCCGTAAACCAGAGATACAACAACTCCCTCACAATGTAGACCTTTCAGAATATGTTTACTTGTCGAAGGTCTCTTGCCTTCAGCAATATACTGGGCTGGCAATATGATGCTTTGCCAGAAAATCTCCCTTTTTGCCAGATGTATTGTAAATTTAATCATAAATTTTCAAAAATATAATAGGTTTTGGGTCTTCAGCCTGGAAAGTCTTTAAAAGATCTGGTATTTGTGAACAGTTAATGGAGCTTTTCTGCCCGCTTATGATCAGCCTTCATACCTAATCTTCTTTTATTTTGCATTTTAACGAATTATTTTCTAAAAACAGTCATCGCTTATCATTGTAAGTCCATTTTAACTTAAATGGACGCATCCAAGTTTTCCTTGGTCAAACATACTTAAACCTCTATTTACACTGTTTAGTTTTTACTGTACAAAATTGAAGAATTGAAAGAACTTCATGTTTTAGCAATAAATATTTGGTTGTACGCTGTGAAGTTTCATGCAGATTTTCTACGTCTTGACAAAAATATTCAGCCAATGAATTATTAAAGATGTAAACGTGAAATTCACATGTTTTTCGTTGTTTTAATAACAAAAATCTTATGTGAGAATTCATCGAAAGCTGATAAGCTGGCTAAGGTTGTGAGCAGGTCGATTGTGTAGGAAAATTGCAGAATCAACTGTAGCGTAATTCATAATCACCTACATCACGATCACTATGATCGTCAACATCATTATCATCATCATCACTATCATCACGATCGCTATGATCATCAGTCATCATCACCTACTTCACATCCCATGATCCTCATCATCTTTGATCATGTATCACTAATCATTTGTCATTGATCATTAATCATATCCAATCGCTACTTCATGGTCATATTTTCTGTAATGACCTCCCTTAAATGATTGTGCTCTACCTCATAGTCATGCTTGTTCTCTGACGAGACAAATTTTAATATTTATCTTGTCACGGTTCTTTTTATCATTTTCCTTGATAAAGCAGTTTAGATTTAGCACTCTATCAATAAATTTCTGCCTTTTATTTATATTAGATGGCTTTTGGTAATCTTGTTTGCAATTCAAATATTTGTCAATGTATTATCTAGAAAGCAGACGTTTTTACGACAGTTTATAGTAACGTGCTAACGCTGATTTTTCTTGAAACTTTTTCCGCGCAAATTTTAAAAGGAACGCAAACAAGAGATACACAAAGACATTATTGTAGGGTTATTGTTAGCTGTGGGTCGTCTCAAAGTTTTCTTTCTCTTCATCAGAAGTGACAGGCAGAAAAGGCATCGGTAAATCGCGTTTTTCATAAAACTCTGCGCTTGTGTGATGAATACTTTATAAAAAATGTGCATTTCTGATTTATTGTTTTATTAAGACCTTAACAAATTAGGAAAATGAAACTGAAAACATATGAATTAACATGCTATTTTTCTAAGCACTTTGATGGCAGTCAAGTGCTCATGTATACTCAAAAATTTGAGAAATTTTTTATTTCTGCGTATTATCCGAGGTAGGTTTTCCTTGTGACTCTGAAGTTTTGGAGCCCCGTGGAAGCAAATATCATCCTTGTTTTTGTCCGTCAGACAGCAGATATGAACCGTCTTTTATGACTGGCCTTGAACTTGAAAATCAAACATCTATAAACCTTCAACCACAGCTATAAACCTCAATCCAAAAATTCGTTTAGATCATAAATTTTGGAAATGCAGATTTCGGAAGACTTGGAAACAAGAACAGTTTTTCGCCCAGAGCTTACGGCTGGCTTATGATTTTCCGTGCACGTTTAAATCTTCCTTTGTTTTACTCAAGACTTGTTTTGCAATCAGGTCTGAGTATTGAAGTGTTTGCTGCAAAATCTGTCGTTTTGCGGTGCGTGTTTGTGAATAAGACGAAAAAGCTTCACCTTTTGTCGTTCATGTTCGTCCAAATTTTGCCAAACAACCAAAGCCTCTTTTCCATGTGTTTTTCTTGCGGAGAACCGTGCCAATGTACCAGTCTGTATATGTTATGAACTGAGACCAAATTACAGAGGTTTGATGGGGCCAGAGCTTGTGCTCATCTGGACATATCTCAGCCAATTCGTAATACATTTAACTGATTTTGCAGATTTAGAGATATTTTATGATGCTCTTTCAGGTAATGGGAAGCAATTTCAAAAATTCTAAAATATGATTGTTGTGACGTCATCACTTGACAACCCTATTCTAAAGCTTTTGTTTCTTAAATCTTACAGTCATCGTCTCGAACACGAGCTGGAGGACAAAGCAGTTATTAGACGCAACCGTGCAAGGTCCGCAGACGCACACGCAACGACGTGAGTCGAACTCTTTCAATTTTCTATTGACCAAATTTGTTAAGCTGATACTTCAAATGTTGTTCATGTGAAGGATCTAATTCCCACTGTGGGCAGTGAGCTGGGATTTTTTCAAACTGGTTATTTTATTAATATGGTTTGGAATAATTCGATAAACATGTATAGCACTAAGAAATTATTTATTATTTCAAAGTAAAAAATGACTGCAGCAGACCTGCATTGAAATACTAAAAAGGATTTGCAATGGACTGATGTGTCTGGTATATTTGGTATAAATAGTATATTTGTGTGTAATGTGCCTTTCACTGATGTTGTGCTGGACAAACCATTCCCTTGCTCTGTTCGCTAATCATGTTCTATCTGCACCTGGTTGTGAATCTATGTTCATCTTTTCGTTTTTTCATATTCTTTGTTTTATAAGAATTGCGTTAATATGTTCAAACATGTTTTTCGTACAGCCTTGAAATATTCCCTTATTGTATGTTAAGCCTTTTAAGCTGATGTTGTGTCCTCGGGGTATGCTGGAGCTAATATTATAAAAAATATTATATGCTTTGAAAGATCACTGACCTAGGCAACTTCATAATTTTTGACAAACTTTTTATGCGAATCTTTGTCTCTAGAATTGACATCTGCAACTCTTTCTTGCTCTCATGATTTCATCAAGGTTAGAAAATGTTGTTTGGCTACTTGGATGCATAAGAAGACCCACCCATGTGTAAATATATACAAAGCATCTGGCTTTATTGTGACCTATCTACTATATGCACCTATGTAGATTAACCAAAACAATAGATTCGCACTATTGCTCCAACTTGGCCTGGCTTTTAACCCTAATGGCTCTACGGATTTCGCTGGGGATTTTTTCGAAATGCTCCTACATCATACGCTCGATAGCATCGGGGGTACTTTCCCGCTCTTGCTTTCTTGGTTTTTGGGTAATTTGCACTTAATTGCGAGACTCGAACTTTCGACCTTACTGTATCTACTGCTATGTGAATTTTATACCTCTACCAAATCAATACACATCTTAAGGCAGTTAACCCAGCTCAACAGTATTACTGTGGCCGTCAATTTCTTTCCATCATTTCATAACAAAGCAGCTTAGACTGGCTTTGCTGGCATGCAGTTGCCTAGCTAGACTCAGTTTTTAGCTGCCATGAGGCATGGCCAATCTGTCAGATGAAGCATTCCCATAGCTGTGCGCTCTGCCGTTTTACTTCTTCCAGCGCACTGAATTTTGTCCTTCATTAAAATTCATGAACAGTTGACTTCCTATTCTTAATCATTGCTGTCTGAGGTAAATATTTCCGGGTTTGATTCTTGCCTTCTCTTTAGTTCTCAGTTTGATTAGAAAAAATAGGTGAGATCTGGGCGTGTCGAAATTAACAGTTTGCATTTCTCGCGTTTTCGAACCGCATGCTTGTGACGTGTTCGTGTTATGATCAGGTCGTTTTTTAAGGATTCTTTCAATAAACAGTAACTGTTATATTTATCAAATTGGCGATTACAGTATGAGGTTAATTTCTAGCAGGTTTTTTTCTAACAAGCATGGCAGTAAACATATTTTTTGTGCGGTTGATTTTGTTTTGATTGATGGTTACCGATCTTAGCAGTGCGTCTCTCTTCACTTTAACGAGAAGTTTGATCTTCCACACCTTTTCTAGGGAGCATAAAAACATAGAAATTCAAGGTCAGATGGTTTTTATAAACTCTGAAAAATTCGGTTTTTATTGCTGCAAACTTGAGTTGCTTTCTAAAGGCTCTTGTTTGTTGTTCGATCTTTCTTGGCCTTGAAATCCTCTTACAGTTATGCTGGAATAGAGTTTTTGAAACAACTTCTTAGATGTTTCAACTCAAAATTCGTTTTATTGCTTCTGCTTTTATTTTGTTCACAGTTTTACGTCATGCAACGTATCTAAAGTTTAACATTTAGTTAAAAAGATAACCATTCTCTTGTGAAGACATACTTTTTGGATTTTGCTATCGAATGTAGAAAATCTTTTTGACCTGTTGAAATTTACATTGTGCGGTCTGTTGATTCCAGGTATAACGACCCTCCGGTGTTTGTTCATACAAAATATGTTGCTTGTATATCTGCCCATTTTGCACAATTGTACTTATCAAGGAACACAAACTATGCCTACGATTGCCTAGATATTTTTCTGAAGAACGGTCTCTTTAATTCTATGAATTTTTTCTTCATGTCATGGTTTTAATCTTCTTGAGCCTGGATAAGCACGTCCTATATTTTATTCATGGTGAAAAGCTTTTGGTTGAAATTGTCTTGCTAAAAGCTACTGGAGCAGGTTGTTCTAGTTCCTTCGAGATCCCCATTCATTCGTCTCTTTGACTATGTCAACTTTCATTAGAACTTCAAGCCTTTTTCTTCGATCTTTGATCTGTTTCCTGACTTTGCTTTGCGGTGTAAGAAAAGTGAAAAAGGTCTCTTGCATGTATCCATTTTTTCTTAATTGGTCAATCAATATCTTGTTCTTTTTATTCGTTCTTTTATTAATGATTTCTTGCCATTACATGAACGTAAACTTAGCTTGCACAAATTGTTGAAAGAGAATTTTATCTTTATACATACAATTTTTGGTTTTACCCTATTTGAACATTTCAGCAATTTTAACCAAACAATTTAATTTCATATTTTGATGATTGATTTTGATGTTTCTATTGTCATGACACAGTTTTGACACGAGTTGGTGATTTTGTTCATCAAACAAACTACAAAAACTATGAGATTTTGATGTACTGAGACAAGAGTTACCATGAGAAATTGTATTGAAAATAACTTAAATCTAATCTTATAGCAGTTTTAATTTGCACTTTTTCCAAGAAATGAAATTGTATCTTAAGCACAGGACTTTCTATGCTTTTCAACAGGCCACCTCTGAATAGACAGCTGTCTTTGCGCCATTCAATGATAATGAGTTTTTTTCCTTGAACTCGAATAAAGGTTTTTCTGTATTCTCTTGGCGGTGCCCTCTTACATAGATGCGGTCAAAGATGTGTTGTTAAAATACGTCAAAAAGTTGTTTAACATTTAGTATTTATTATCTTTGAATACTTCTGCCGCTCTTTTTAATTTGACTCCATTATTTTTCAACTAGCATTCAGCGAGCTTGGAAGCGGTACAAACGAAAACAGGAAGGAATTGCCATCCCCGATGATCCCATAAACATAGGACGAGCAGAGGACGGCTATAACGAGGAAGAATTCCCATATTATTACGATAGCTCTAATTATCGAATGCGCAATTACGAGGATTGCGACGAACATGGAGTCGATATAAACGATATTTTCGACGATAGCCTCGAGTATGCCGATCATACTTCGGAAGGAGATGAGAGTGATCGAAGCGATTTGTCCGATCTCGCAAGAAGTTTTCCTGGAGATTATTTGATCGATGATGAATTCAATGGTAAATTTGAAAGCATGGACTTAAAATTCAATCGTTATGGGTTAACGGAAGATTGTCGGACTAAAGATTTCGTCGAATCTACGCTTCCCGAACCTACGACCGACTGGAACACTATCGAATCGGTTTTAACGAACGAATCAGGTGTGAATTCGCCAGAGGATGGGGACATTGACGATGAAGAAGACTTATCTAGGAAATTATCCACGGGACCGAATTTACAACTTGTATTCGTTGATGACGATGGAGAGGACACTGACAATGAAAGCGATCCGGAAGTTAAGGTCTACATAGTCGATGACGAGAGAAACACAGACTACATCGGTGATCGCTGCAAGTCGATGTCCTCCGGAGATTTGTTTGACGAGCGAGAAATCGACTCCAGGGATTCCGGGTGTGTCCCTGGGGATCTCGTCGACTTGAACATAGACTACGTGACGGATTACACTCCTAATCAGTTAAGCCAAGGTCCTGTACCAGCAGAAGAATCGAAACGTGTTTTATACTCGTTGCAATTGCATGAGGAACACGAGAAACAGGAGAAGGAAAAAGTCGAGGAGAAGAAGAGGCAAAGTGTCGCTCCGAATTCTATCTATCTAAAACTGGCGAAGAGCTGAGGTTTTTACAGAGGGAACTCGAGGATAAAGTTCAGTGTAAGTAACTTATGTAAAAAAACTTATTGCTATTTAATTATAGTTTATCTATTATGATATCTGTAAATTATTAAACCTGCAAGGTCAGCCCCTGTTAACGGCTCTTGAAAGAAAGGATTCCAAACTCCCTGGAAAATCACAAAAATATAATGTTTCGACTGTTTGACAAAATCTATGCGACTTCAAACCTTTTTTAAACTAGCCACAATCCTTGGCCACTTAAATATAGTTTATATACAAGGACATTAATCACCAAGAAAACAATACTAAGATGTTTAATATGCATTTTTTTCATATAAATGTGTGGACCGTTATTAATCATACAATTCGTCAGCCTTCCTCTATTTGCTGCTTAAATAAGAAGTTTTGTATTAAATGCATACTATCAATATTTTAGTGGTTTCAAATGAACTCGTTGACGCCTTGATGGCCAGGGACAGTTTACATGCAGAACAGGAATCATTGTTGATGGAAGTCGAGGATTTATCAAAGTGAGTAAGTCTCCGTTTTGTTTTGCTTTACTCAAGTTTTGCAATTTGCATCGAACCTTTCATTACCCCCTTCCTCTCAGTTAAGGCCTGCACACAACCTTTGGAAATAGTTTCTTGTTTAGTTTTATAATTAATCTCAACTATCTACTTAATCCAACCCAACTGACTAGAATACCTCCTCTGTTTTGAATTTGCTGCGTCTCTAAAAGTGCACGATTTTTGCAAATTAAAAACTGTTCAAAGTTCAAAATTGACTAAATATATGGTAGCTTTGCTACTAAAATATACGTCAACACCAAATTCCATTGCAAGAATTTGCTGCTTAATCCAAGATGAATTAAAGCCCCGTTGGAATTTTCTTTCATCTACTGTCACGTTTCCTGTATTCTGTTTTTACTAGCCGTTCATACATTTAAAATTTTACATTCTTCAATCATCAACTATCAAATCATATTGTCTGACATATTATTGCATGTATCTCTTACATTTTGATTGTTTTGTTCTCGAACGATTTTTTAAGAAATTTCTAACTTATCTCAATAAGATTCACACGAATAAAACATTGATTTGTGATGTTTTCTACCTTTTAATTAGCTGGAGTCATATATTGAAATTTAGTGATAAAAAGCCAGGAATGTTTTGTAGGACTCACCTTCTTTTAAGCTGTTAATGTCCATAACATAAACAATTCATTAGTTTGTTTCCGTTTAATTAAACATATAACATTTTATCATTTTACTTCAATCAAAGAAATTCCCTTATTACGTTAAGTAATAATATATAATATTCATTAAGCTTTTAAAGATATAAGTTTTTTTGCCCTTGCGCCAGCATTTTCAGTTTAGTAAAAAATATGATATGTTCATTAAATTACTTTAGTACTATAATTTTCTCGATTCTAGACTCGCCCAAAGTCGACAACAGCGAGAATCGACAAAGAACTCCACTAAACTGAAATTTTAAATAACGTGTTTTTATTGTTTCTCTAAGCTATCTAGACTAGAAATTAGGTCTTTATCACCTTCCCGGGTTGAAATCTTTATTTAAACACGAACTGTTAAAACTTTGCTTGTTTTTACCTCTTTTTATTCAGTGAATTTGTACACGTTTTAGCCTAAGTTTTCGTATGATTTACTTACAAATCCTTGATTAGATGCAAAATGAAATGTTTGGTAGATGCAAAGTTTACAGTAAATTGTGTTTGTGTGAAGTTCAGTAAATTCGCATTGTTTACCCTTTGTCACTTGCCTAACAGGCAAAATACAATACTGCAATACCTCTAATTCCCTTTGAAATGCATAGCACAAAAAACCCATTTCTTTTCAAATATATGACATTGATGGCATCGACTGATTCTAAACCCAAATAACATTGCAATAGATTTGCATGTTTGGTTTAGTAAAATGCCTTAATGTATTAGCATTTTTACCCAAGAGAACTTATTTTACAAGAAGAGTTAAAATTGTTGGTCAAAAATTTCTTAGATAGTGTGATGTCATGCAATTAAGCACGCGATAATATCGCTTGTTTTCCCCTTTAAATCTTATTGACTATTCGGATACCGACCGACCTCTTTGCATATAAATGCGTTAGTTGTTTTTTCAACAGAATTTCCCATTTCTATGGCATTAGATTTTAGTTCTACTTTGATTAGCTATAATCCGTAGATTCCTACAGAGATTATGTTCAACACATTTTGTCAAAAACCTGGACCCAATGCTAGTATTACCTGATAAGCTTTTTCAGCAGTCTGTATCCGGCCTTTTTATGCATTGCAACCAAAAAATCTTCAAATATTAAAAGTTATCCGTATGATTTCATATGAATGGTGTTTGTGCAAACCAAACGATTAATTTCAAAGGATAGAGAGATTTGGTTGTGTAAGAAACGCTACTTGATCTCTTGTTTATCATAATGCGAGCTGTATATTTTCTTTACAATCTTAATCCAAGACCCGAAGATTTTCAATAAAGTTTTACACCATTTCGAAAGCCAGGACCTTCCACAAGAAAGATATTTTGTTTTATTCTTTTTCAATATAGATATTATAGAACATAATATTTTTAACGTTTTAAATTTAATGCAGTAGGTTAAGGGCAAGCAGATTCGGGTTTGTTCAACATTTTTTTAAGCTACAAAATTCATTGTTTTCAGTGTAGTTATTAAGTCATATTTTAGACTATCTACTTTAAGTTTACCTGGGGCCGCTTTTGGATCATGTACTTGTACAAAGTCCGGCTCGCTTTAGCTAAACCCGGCCTTCTCCGGTTACTTGTTTCTTCCGGTTAATTGCTCAATCTATGAAAAGAATTTCAATTTCTGGAAATTTGCCATTGCCCGGTAGACGGTGCACTCTGTACCGGACCTTATCCGGTCCCATACGATCGGTTTTAAGTAACCGTGGATAATTAAACGGAACAGCAAGTAGGACATGTTGCATCATCATTTGGTCTTAAAGAATAGCAGTAATAACTTTGATAGCTATGTCGCTAAGTGTACATACTACATTTAGATTATAGATATTTACCATTTTAATTAAATTAATGTCCTGATTTTTTGAATGTATGTGAGTCGTTTTTGATCAGATTAAATGCAATTCACGAAACAGCATTTGTTTCTGCCAGTTTACTGCTTGAGGACACGAGAGTGCTCATGCGTTGCATTCTTTGTTTATTTGGTACTGTTGTAAAGCCGAGGTTCTTAGTCAGAGATGGCATAGTTTGACATTTTCCTTTTATTTGACGAATCTCTTTACAGATCTGACCAAGCGAGTCTATTGAAACATTGGAAGCAGTTAGGGTGATTGAGAAAATAGGTAAGACCTCAGATTGGGAACGTGAACGGATAGAGCTAATTGCAAGTTACCTCTCTAATTGAAGACAAAGAGTAAAAAAAGGGTCGACATACAGTAATTGGTTGAAAACGAAAACCGGTGCACCACAAGGCTCTGTGCTAGGTCCGTCGCTCTACAACTTTTTCCTCAATGATTTTATTTACATTATCGAGTAGTTGGAGGTATGAAATTCTCTAGAATTTCACTTATGGCGATTCTTTTGAAGTTATTGCCTTAAGTCTTGAAGAGGATATGTCTAAATCGATGTCCTGGTTTAAAGTGCCTATGAAATGAAATTTTACACATAGTTTTTTTTAAAAGAAACTGAAACTTCTGTACATTGTTTCGATAAAAAACGAAAATTAACTCGAAAATTTGCACGGGAAAGTTTGTTTTGGGGGTTTCAAAAACAATTAGTGTGAGTGACAAAGCATAAGAATCAGTGACGTCACAAGGTTTGCAGTTGGTTCGTCTTCAAAATAAACACACCATACCACGTTGTCAGTCAGGGCTGTTAGTCAAACAATTGTACAAATTGTGATACTAGCATAACATTTTGCAAAAAGGCGTAATTTGATGCGATGAAAAAGATAGGATATGGACCCCAACTGAAAATTGCCCATTTGGCTATTTTTAGACCGGAATTCTTTGCTCCAAGCCGCTAACGGCATTATTACAATATCTCTTCTGAAAGTAGGTAAAATAACACGAAACTGTGCAAAACAGCAAAACAGGACAGTTTGATATGCTGAAAAAGATAGAGTACAGAACCTAACTGAAAAGTGTCCCCTTTTTCTGTTTTTAAACTGGGGTACCTTGCTCAAGACCTTTAAAGATGGAGTGATCGCATCTCAGTCGTACTAAAGTACTACAGCACGAAACTGTGCAAAATGGGACAGTTTGATATGCTGAAAAAGATAGGATATAGATCCCGTGTGAAAATTATCCCCTGGGGCTATTTTGAGACTATGGTACTTTATCGTAGACTAGGGTGACCTCCATTCTGCTTAGTGTACTAAACGCCAACTGCTTCCGTGTATGCAAACTTTGCGACGTCACAGATATCGCGCGCTTTGTCACAGTCGAAAACGTAAAAAAGAGGTATTCAACTTAGAGGGCGGATGCCACCCAATGGCAAAAATCCCTTTGCAAAAGGGCGTTTCTGGTGTTCGAAAGAGGGTGGACCCCCAATTTTCCCTGACTCAACTAGGCTTCGCCCCCCAAGCGTACCACTCTAGCTATGCTACTGCTTATGGAACTACCTTAAGAATGATATTAAAAGCATAACGTCCGTTTGCTCATATATTGTAAAAAGATGGTCTAAATTAGTTTTACCTATAAAACTATTCAATTTAATTAAACTACAATTGCAAACTTCTCTATTACAGTACATAGGTAGTTTGTGACTGGTTAGCCTGGGTCTACAAGACTATTACAATAGTAAGCGCAAAAGGGAGAACTGAGAAAAAAGAAAGAGAACAAAAGCAACTAAAATTAAAAAGAAAGTAATTTAAACCAATTGTCATTTAATTTAGCAAAAACATAAAAAACTCACAAATCGCAGTATTACGAGGTAGTTAGGTAGTTTGTAAAAGAAAATATTACAAAATAATAATTGAAACTTTTCATTTTAAATTCCAGTTGAAACTTCAATTCCAAAATCTCATTATTGCATAGGTAATTTGCAACTGGCTAACCTGTTTTTACAAAATAAAACTATTACAATCGTCAGGCACTATGTGAATTTGTGAATTTTGACCAAATATGTGAATTTTGTAGCTTAGGATTTTGGTATTTTAAATGTAAAAATCTTAGACCTTATTAAAATTCAAACTCTTGAGCAGACACATCTTCTAATCGTTTTTAATTGTGAAGCCCTGTCTCCACTGGATCTCAAATTGCACCATTGCATCGTTTGTTTCCTTTTTGACAGGGGTTAAGTTGAATTCAATTATTTTGAACAGGCAAGGTGAATTTCTGGATAAGAAGTTTAAATTTCACCATCAGTACTGATTGAGCCTGAAGTTTTGAAAAATCATTCCCTGTATTGATCAGAACAATTGAAAATAGGAATTTTTTTAGAAACAACGAGTGGCCAATTCAATTAAAAACATTAAAAATCTTTCATTGCTAGAAGTTCTCAACGCTTCTTAACGGGTGTATGCTAAGCTCCTCCTGCACTTTGTAGACCTCCTTAAATCTTATCATAAATTGCTATGATAAAGTGGATGAAAAACCACAAAACATTGATCAAAGAAGCGGCAGAAGAAGTATTTGATCAAAAAAGAGTGTTTTATCCTACGAATCAGGCATATGCACTTGCCCTCAGATCCCCCTTTTCAGTTCCAAAAAGCAAAGGACATTTAGCCCTTTGAAAATTGTAAAACATTTCATTCAATCAAGAACAAAAGATGAAATTGTCAATTCCATGATGCTTCTATATTGTGAAAAATATATTTTATATAAAACTGATCTGCAGCAAATAGCTTCAAGATGGGCAAAGCAGAAAATGAACAGAATTGCTGTTAATTGACTTGAAAGAATGTTACTTTTTATCATTAAACATATCCAAAATCTAATACTGGTTTGGCTTTGATGTTGATTTACATCTTACGAAAAGATTAAATGTTCGTGTAACGTTAATCAAAATTTAGAGATTTCCTTTACCGTCTTTAGTGCTTTTATGCTTAAGACTAATTATTATGAGTAAAATGTTGGTAATTATACAGAACCAAGATATCTGGAATAAACATAAGGCTATTTCCAAAAAACAATTTAGTAGGTACAAAAGATTAACAGGTCGAAAGAAAAATTTATCAGGTAAAGTTGGAATTTTCAACCTTCCACGACCCCCCAAAATTAGTCACTTGTTTACGTCCCTGACAATCGTAAGACAGGAAGAGTACCTTGTCCAAACCAATACCCCGGCCTGTTTTGCTTTGCCTTTTTTACCTCGCTCCCTTTAAAGCAAATTAAAAGCAGAAACCATCTAAGCGTTTGAATGATATGGAGAAGTCTTTTTGGTATTGAAAAAAGCATTTGGGGAGTTTTTTCAAAAGATCGTTCTTTCCCACGAGAAGGCACTTTAGCCCCACGGAGGGGCTTCGCACGCGCAGCCTTTTCCCAAAAGGGCTCTCTTGGGTCCTTGTGGGTAACGAAAATGTTATCTGATTGGTTATCTCATATTTGATCAACCAATCATTGAGTGTTATTGAAAACGGTTGCAAAGTATAAAATCAAAAGAACACATCAAGACGTTGTGCCTGCACACCACAAATCGAAGATCTTGATCACGCCAAAGTAAAGTTATAACTTACTCCGACGAAAGCAAAATGGTTGGAGCAACGAGACAAAGATCAGCTATAACAATGAATACGCGTTTGCAGCGAAATACTAAAGGCAGCACGGTGAGTTTTCTATTTTCCAAGTGAAGGACATTTCAAATTGCACGTGCCATCCATTGATAGAATTTTTTTTAGAACTTGGACGATGTTTGCATTTATTATTCTGTCTTGTAAGTTATACTGAAATTTGATTTATTACATCAAATATATTTTGAACAGGCAAAAAATGCTAGAGCTGGTATGGTAAATAAAGGAACAAGCCTGGATGAAAACGCTCTTGTAACAAACCTGAAATCAAAGGTCGCTGAAAAAACAAAACGTGCCAATGAAAGCTCGCCTAAAGAAGCTCCTGCAAAGAAAAGATCTGTCTTTGGAGACTTGACAAATGTAAGTCGATAATAATTTAGTACTAGTATGTTCTATAATTAACTTATTCAATACATTCAATATTACTGCAATCTCATTTTAAAGTCTCTTCGTTTTCCATTTCCAGGCATTTAGATTGGTTAAACTTAGGCCCTATTTCACTGTCGACCTGCTTGGTTCACTTGGTTCTTGTCTTTAGGCTTACCTTTCGATCTCCTTATTTTCCGAATTTCTATGTTTTTATGAAACCGACTTATTTTCTAGGCAAGCTTGAAACAGCAATTTTTTGATGGAAAGAAGTCTTTGCAAGAACTGAAAAAACCTACAGAAAATTTAACAGCCAAAACAGGAATCGGTAGAAGGACAAGGAGCCAAGAAAATAAGCCAACAAATCTCCCTCAGTTGTCTGAAATATTTGAAGACTCTTTGGAGTGTCTTAAAGACAAATCTGTTAACTCCAGTAGCTTTGAAAATATATCAGTTTGTAGCTTATTATCAGAAAGTGAGATATGCAAGCTAAGTTCAGATGGCCTTACATCTTCTCAGTCAACAACATCAAGTCGAAATGTATCAATTGACGAGAAAGATATGTAAGTAAATAAAGGATTGTTAACTGCTTAATCTGATTCAGGATCCAGGGTAGCCAAATGAAGTAAATAATAAAGGATAAAGTCAGTCTTAGTGAATGCCATGATTTTAAAGGTCTATATGTTCCATTAGTGTATAATTTTCCTATAGCCATTAGATTTTTACAAATGCATTTTTAAGAGTTAGAAACGGTATGACATTGCTAAGGCATTTTAGAGTTGTAATCCTGGATACAAAGCTTTGCTTTTTTAGGATAAAACTGATTTAATCAGTTTCTTTATTTTAAAATTCCACTTTATATATATATACATTATAAATTAAGTAAAAAAATGCAAGTTGAATACCAAAAGGCAGATTCTGTAAGACAGAACAGCATTTGTCCCTACTGATTGAAACAAGGATTGAAGGCAATCAGCCAAACCAATTGCCCTAAATTCAGTTTTTTGGTGCAAAATCAGTTTTCCACCATTAATTCATATTATAATTATAATTGATGCAATCAACAATCTATTTCAATTTTGGTATGCTGGAATCATATTCAAAAAGCCTGCTAATTATAAAAAACCTTTTGCCTTATTATTACCATACTTTGATGCCTTTTTTATCTTTATTATTAGACCTGAAATAGAAAAAGATGAGGCTGCTGCTACTGAGGTATGGACCTAAAACTTACTTTGCCATTTTCATGCTAATTTTTTATGTTATTTAATGTAATTATTTTACATTTCCAATATTTACGCTGCTATTTTAGTTGACAGCAGTATATTTTGTTAATATTGATGGCTTATAAACTTGTATTTTAGGAGTTTGTCATCCTTGAAGTAGAAAAAAACCTTCCTGAAGGAGTTAGAGATGTTGACACCGATCCAGATCCTTTTAGTGTTTCTGAATATGCAGAATCCATTTTCAAGAATATGAAAGCTAAGGAGGTAATAATTGCTGACTGTGTTAGGGAAATGTGTTATAAAGCACCAATGTTCATCATTCATTTGAACATGTCTCTGAATAGAGCCTCAAACATATGTGATCTATTTTCACCTACTCTTTTTTTATTTGATTGAAGTGAGGAATTTGGCAATTTCTCCTGACACAAAATAAATGACTTTTTGTTTGCCCAGAACTGTTTGCTTGAAGTCTTTGTAGCAATGAAACCCAAACAAGCAACATAAAAAGTTGTCTAAAGCCTTGTTGCCAAATTTTACAAAATAAAAACACAACTTTTCAGTTATTTTTTCATTGATGACTAAAAAATGCAGTGATAATCTCTGGGTGAACAATATAATATGCGGAATTAAATTTTCTAACCTTATAAACAAGTAAGATATGTAAGGATATATAATTGTCCCTACACATCTTTCAGTACACTTTGGATTCCCAATATATAAAGTATTGGAATTGTGCACCAAAAAATGCCATGCTTAGTTGTTTTTATGTAATCAACTACTCAAGATATAAATGTTTTCCATGCTGTAGAAATCATTCATTGTAAAAAAGTACATGGAGGGAAGAGATGAACTGACACCTGGAATGAGAGGAATTTTAATTGATTGGTTAGTGGAAGTTCAAGAGAATTTTGAGCTGTATCACGAAACTCTCTACCTGGCAGTCAGAATTGTTGACTTATATCTGCAATCAAAGGTTATTTCTAAACAGAATCTACAATTAGTTGGTGCCACAGCAATGCTCATTTCTGCAAAGATTGAGGTAAGTGTATATAATATATAAATTTATCTGCATATCTGTTTTGGATAAACATTTTTTGCTTTGAAAATAAGCTCTATGTCTAAACTCTGTTTGCATCTAATTTTCAATCAAAGCATTTTGAAATCTTATTTAATATTTTGTGGGCCAAAGGTCCTAAAACTTTTTGAGCTTAGAGTCTTGTGGAGGTTTAAGCTAAATTTGCCCACAAGGTGACACATTTGGTCTTATTTATTGGTATCCATTCTGTCATTGAAACAATTATTTTTATGCTGCATTTCCAGACAGAACAATTTCATATTTCTAAATCATAAGCTATAAGGAACAGATGTTTAATCGTTTTCTATTTCAGACAGATATGCTTTCAGGTCAATGCCATCATTTTCCCTTGAATTGACTGTCAAGTGCTTGTTTTTAGGAAAGATATCCTCCACCCCTTGACGACTTTGTATTCATTTGTGATGATGCATACAAATCTGGTGACTTCATCAAAACTGAGTTGGATATTCTAAAGATTTTAAACTTTGAGCTTGGCATCCCAATTTCATATAGGTTCCTGAGGAGATTTTCAAGGGTACGTAGAGCTACAGAACTCAAACACTAATTATTTTATTATATGATGCAATATTACAGGGCCTTTCTATATTGGGTGTTTGTCAAAACATGTTGCTAAAGGCTCTTATTTTCATAATGACTTTTCTCAGTATAGGAAAGAAGATTCACCAAGATATATATTTAAAAAGATTCATTATAACCATTAAGTTTAAAATTAATGGTTTGCACATTAAAGTGGTCAACATTTTTTAAAGATTTTGTAGCATATAGTCCTTAGCAGATTTTCGAAGATAACTTAGGATTTGAATCAACTTGGGCATTAAGGTGCAAGGTGCCTTTTTATCTAAACAAAAGGGATTGCTTGAATGAAACCAAAGGCCTTGTATGCACATTAGCCAGATTAACATTGACGTTTTTAAGCTAAAAAAGCATTAAGAACAAGTCTAGCTTGATACCTAGAACTTTTTAAATAGAAAATAACAACTGCTAATCAGATCAATGATTAAAATTTTTGGTTTTTTAAACTATAATGATATACATGTATGTTATCAGGTTGCTGGTGCTGACATGATAACCTTGACACTGGCAAGGTACATATTGGAAACATCACTTTTGCACTATGAATATGTTGACTGTTCTCAGTCCAAAATTGCTGCTGCTGCTTTGAATCTAGCTTTTAGAATGAAGAACAATGGTGTATGGGACAAAACTCTGGAGTACCACAGTGGATACAGGGAAGCAGATCTCATAGAATTAGTAAAAGACTTGAACAAAAAAATCAGAGAATCACCAAAATCAAATCTAACAACAGTACATTCTAAGTATTCACATCCAGTGTTTTCAGAAGTAGCAAAAATCCCAAAGATTACGATTGATGTGTGATTTTTTTAATGATGCAGAGTTTTTTGTGAATAAGCAGTCAAAGATCTCTTTGGCACAAACTTTTTGACATTAAAACTTGTATATGTATGTCTAATCCTTGTATATTTTTAACTTGATCATATTTTTACTAAGCTTTTATTGTAGAGATTATTTGTATTATTTTACATGAATTTAATTTGTTGAAAAGAATATCTTTTAATAATAAATGGAGTTTTTTCTAACTTGCAAGTCTTACTAAACAAAAAACTAAGTACTGTATTTCCTCTAGTGATGCCATCCTCTAATAAATGCTGCCATCTATTGAATGCCACACCCTCAGCTAACCATTTGGAAAAAGCACCCCCTCTGATAAATGCCGCCTTCTATTGAACGCCACACCTTGAAAAGTGGCATTCATTAGAAAACACACCAAACAAGAGTTAAGGAATTTATTATATGCTTACTATTCAAAAGCCATGAAAGTTTTATCTCATAGAGATGAGGACTCTGACTGAGAGGGATATTGACATTCCTTTACTTGACATTCTTTTTATCCTATTTCATCAATTTTTTCTTTTCATTTTTCATTTGACAAACTTTTCATTTTGTATTGAGCGCTACCCTGTGATGAAAGCCACCCTCTATTGAACGCCACATTCAAAATTTTGGGTTTGTAATAAACACATCAGCGTTCTTTAGAGGAAATACAGTACCAGAATATGCCTAATAATTTATACATAATTTTGCATGTCAGCATCAACATTAATCCATACATACTAAGGCATGCTACCATCCTTTATAACAGGTAGCTAAGTTCAAAACAGGGCTCAAACTATGCTTGTTTTTGATTACCATAATGCATGTTGAATATAGGCTATTCTGTTTAAATATTCTTGTATTACTTTTATTATTAATTTGTTTTGTGAAAGTTTGCTAAATGTTTAAGAACTTTGCTACAATGAAACTAGACCATATCATAAAAAGCAACATTTTGTTTTCATTTGATTCATTTATTTATATATACACATAAACTCAAGCTCATCAATTTCAACAAAAATGCATTTTGATAATAGCAATCAGCTTAATTAAATTTTTATTAACAATATAAAATACACTCCTCTTTATAACGGTCATATTTTTCAACCAACAGAACTCACAGTTTTCCTCCATCTACAATCAAATAAAAAAATCTATCAATCAACTAAAAAAGACTTAAAAAATAAAGTTGTTAAGGGCAACCAGACTAAAGAATTTTCCTGCCAAATAATTACCATACAATCTTTTGTGGAGCCATGCAAAATACCTCTTGTTTGAATGGCTATTCAAATACCATAAATATTCATTGTGTAACAAGATGCAACAATATACTTATTTTTGCTGTTTTTCTTTTGCGTTCTTATATGATTAAAAGCATCTTTGCCTTTAAACTACTAAACTGAACACATAATGTTATGTTTCCTGTCAGTTTTAGTTCAGACTGCTCCAAAAAACTTATATTTCTAACAACAACTTCAAAAAACAAATTTCTAACTGGCTGGCCTGTGCAAATATTAAAGTCTTCAGTCTGGTAGAGCAAGGTGAATTGCATCTGAAGCCTTATATTCAGCACTTAGATATCTATATAGGTCTAGAAAGCAAATTTTTAAATTGGATCAAAGGACTGGATAAGACAGCACTTTTAAATCATCAAAGAAGAAGCTCAATACAGTACCTGAAAAATCGAATTATTTTATTTGGAAATCTAAAAGCTCCTTTCACTAGCTCTGCTCTATTTCTCAGTGCATCCCTATTCGAGGATACTCTCTTATTGAATTCGACAAATCTTCTATACAATCTTGGGAAACCATATGTCTAAGGGGAAAGTAAAACGAATTAGTGCTTTAAAAGTAAAACAGCAAAAAAACTTACAATGACCACCCATTAGAACAAATACTTAGCTTTTGCTGTCAGATCTAGTGGTCATTTATCTAGCGATTTGTAAACAGGCAGACAGTTGTAAACACACAACACAAAATTTTATTTTCAATTCAATTGAAATAAACAAATCTCAGTTTTTCATATCCTAGAATTATCGTTTACATACTTAGAAAGTCATTTGGTTATCGTTGAAAACATGAAAAATACTAAAGAAAGTTATGTATTTTTGCAGCCGTGCCTTGCGGCACGTGGTGCATTAAATGCGCTCAAAAGATGGTCAGGGCTCAAGCTAAGACAACAAGCTAGGAAAGATTACCCTTCCTATTGCATAAACGGTTGCTTTCTTCCCAAATGATACAGCTATCAACGCAAGTATCTTTTCCATTTCATACGATGACCACTCCAGCACTCAAACACGCCTTCGCATCATGCAGCCATATTGATTTTAATCATTGGCGGCTACGCAATAGCCTCGTATCTGTTGGGTTGCATTCCCAGAACCTCATTCTGAACTATACAGAAGATGGTTTAAAAATAGGAAGTGAAGTTTTTGAAACCCAAATCAAATAGCGGATTTTCTTAAACGAGCAGATGGCATCACTTGATATCAAATTGAAGAAAGTGAATAAAATCTATAAAGAATTGGTATGACATTTCTTTGTCTAATGGACATATGTTTCTCATAATAAATAGGGGGTATAGGTAGGGTCATAGTCTATGATAGAGTTTTTGCAAAAAATAATAATAAGAAGCTAAGTAAGATCAGGATTTGCTAAATTTCTTGATGTTTTGTTGATTTTAGTACTGAAAGTTTCTAAAAAGTTACTTAGATACCAGTTTACAATATTGGAAACACAAAGATGCAATATGAATTAAATTATATATGACCAAAGAATCATCTAATGTTTAACCAGTATGGATTCCATGGCAGCTGTACTCCCGAGAGATTTTTGTTAAATAATGGGTGCACTTTTGCACACCCGAAAGATGGGCGTGGTTTGGATGTGGCTCAAATTATAAAGTTTTTTCAAATAGTCATTTAATGAATTTTTTAATTTGTCCACAACTGAGATGGGAAAAGAATGTGTCATTCTATATTGAGTGATCCACTTTAGAATAGGGCCAGCAAAAAGTTTTCAGTGGGGCTGAGGCAAAACTGAAAAGGAAAGGCACTCTTGTGAGGGAAGCGAACAGAAAAGTTTTGTGACCCCTTTCTTTAGATTGGCTGCAGAATACGCTGCAGAATATTGTTTGTGCAGTCATTTTCTTGCAGTTCTTCCAATATTACTTTGTTTCAATTGTTTTATTGTCACATTTTCCTATTATTTCCATTCTATAAACAGATTACTATCGTTCAATTATAAACAAATGAATTCCATTCTTATAATGGAATTCCTTTTTTATGAGGTTCCCTAGACATCAAGGACCTTAGGCAATTTGCCTCATTGCCCCCTCTCTGTGGTCCTGCTTGTGAGGTCATGTTTTTGGCCTTTTTAAACATTATTTTTTTAAATTATCTCTTTACTTGCCAAATCTTTAGGAATTTGAATAACGGCCACTGATGGTAGTGGTAGGTAAGCATAGTTCAACTCTAAATCATGAATTTCTCAGAGATGTAAAATTGATGTAAACAGGAAAAGTGCTGGACAAAATATGCACACACTAAAGAATCGTTGAGAAATTTAATGCACACTCAAATGTGCACACTTATCACAAATGCACTCTTGCACTCCCGGGTAATAGCTTGTGTACTCCTGGGTTCTCGTCAAAAACTGCCATGAAATCCAGACCGGATCTTTAAAAGATGGGTTTTTTTTATCTGGGTTTTGATCAGTTTCTTAATGGTTGAAGGTGATATTTATACTACAGTGTATAAGGGGAACCTGTAACATAAAAACTAACAAGACACTCCACACTAGGCCTTAATTTTACTGATCTGTTAACTGTTCATTTGAAGTTTACAAGAGGACTTCTCAATACATCCTGAAATTGATACATTCATCAAATTTTGTTAAATTTTGTTTGATAAAGAATTATGTTCATTTGATATATTGCATCTATTAAATGAACTGGTCGGTATCCTGATAAATTGCAGAGTCATCTGCTAAATAAACTTTGCAATGACCTATCAAGTCATATTCTGCATAAAGCTTTCATATTCAATGAAAGAGGGACAACAGAAAGTGCATATAACACATTTGGGAGCAAAAACTTAGCAAGAATAAGCTAAAACATATTCATACTTATGTTTCTGCTGTAAAACGGTCCTACAAAGCACCCTCTGAAGACATGCTCTCATCAAATTTTGACAGAGCTATAGAGTTAGACATTGTCTTTAACAGGCAAATGCCTTTAGTTTGGTTGATTAATTCTGAATACTTTCTTCCACCAGGAACATATTACAGGGCTGATTGTTATCCAAAGCAAAAATGATATAGTTCACAATGGGGTAACTTTGTTCATAGAAGGATCTGTAAGCATGCAGCTTAGTGCAAAGAGCGTTGGTCTCTTTGAGGCATTCTACAATTCTGTTAAGCCAATCACTTTGCTTAGTGGCAACATTGAAATAGCAAAACCTGGCAAAATCCCAAGGTAAGCATTTTAATTAGTTTGTTTTTTAAATATTTATTGCTATAAAGTGCGTGTTAGCTATTTATTAGCAGTAGAAACTTCACTGACTGTTGATATCCATATTGAAAGTATGTTTTTTTAATTCCCCTACAAAAGCGTGCTACAGGTAAACTACTAGCAAAGCAACTCAAAACCAATGCTGGGAATGATACCCAAAAGAGAAAAAAGCTGCAACTACCCCCAGACCGTTGGACATAAGAGTTCTGATCAGAATGATTTATTTCATTTAAGATGAATAGTTTGGATGGCTAGTAAGGGGGGAGGGGAGGATTTTTGTAATAGGTACCTTGTTTTTATTTTTAGGAAGATACATAAACTTTTATGCTGATGTTCTCTTTAAAGAAAATGGGAAACTCAAGTTTTTTTAGAGACAAAGCTCTGTCCATCTGTATTTGAAGAAAAAGGCCTTTAGATGCCTCAATCTGATAATAGTTTCTCGAGTTTTTGATTCAGAAATGTGCCATTATATGTAAAACAGATAAATGATCTTAATGGAAATCAGTATTTAGCAATTAATGGTAATCAGTAACAACTAACTATTACAATGTTTTGTTAAGAATTTCACCCTTCAATCCAATGAGCCATCTTTTTTGACACTTTGCTTCCTTTCTGCTGCTGTGGTTCTTGTAGAGGAGAAAATATTAACAAGGGCATTAATTTCCTGGAATATTATTCTTCAAACAAATTGGAGGGGGGAGGGTTGTTGCTTTTTTAAATCATGTTTCTTTGCCTTAAATTACATCTCTAAAACTAATACAAGAATTTTTAAATATGATGCATATCTTGGTAATGCTTTTTGTTTCCAATGACATAACGACATTTTTGTAATTATAGTGGAAAAACAGAGATACCATTTGATATTGTTCTGAAACCACATGGAAACCGGCATCTGTATGAGACATATCATGGTGTTTTCATCAACATTCAGGTAAATTTATTTAATGTTCAAAAAGAATAGTGATGTTCATGATATATCATTTAGAAGTATATACGGCAAGTAACATATAGTTTTATATGACATGAATATAAATGTGCAATGAGCAAGTATAATAAGTTTTTAATGATTATGATATTATTCTTTTGCTGGTAAAACTAATTTGATCTTTCTTATAAGAAATCTTATTTGCTCAAACTATTATTAATGACATCTATTTTGGCTTTTGAAAAATATGGGAAAAACCTTGTTCACAGCGCCTCAAAATATTTGAAAAGTATCTGAAGCATTAGAAATGAAGATAATATTTATGGACTATGTTTTGTTGTGTAATACATACCTGTTTTGTTTTTTTATAGCAATAGATCAAAATTCCTGCAGTATGTATCCACTATTGTCTCTGGCTAGTCTATGATGTTCTTATCTTAATAAACACACATGTTTTTATAGTACACGCTGAGATGTGAAATGAAAAGAACAATGTTAAACAAAGATCTCATCAAAACTTGCGAGTTTCTAGTTGAAGTGGATGTGAGTACTGTTGAATTTTACTTTTTTGAAATAAGTTAGGCTTGGATTCTGTTAGTTTGGCATTTGGGGCCTTGCTAAGCATTTCCTATTTTTCTCAGTATATGTCAACCCAGTCCATAAGAAGACCCTTTCATTTTTCTTTGGGAATACATGACTTTGGTAATACCCAGCATATAACTTAACCCACAAAAGTTGCTCCCATTCACTTTGAACGCTCAGTATTCTTTTACAATTGATAAAAAAAACAATTTTTACTGCTCCCAGCTCAAAAATTATTTGTATTCAAAGAAAATTCTGCAGCTTTTATCTTGAATTGCACTTTGTACCTTATTCGATTGGCATTTTGAGTTTTAACTGTTCAAAATCTTGACACTCCTGAGAGAAAAACCACACTTCACACTGACCAATCAAAAGTTGTTCAAATTGAAATCTTTCACACTCAATACTTAATTTTATGGACCTTTATTTTACGGATCAAGTGACTGATATATGCTTAAAATGTGTTTATTTTCATTGGGAATATTGGAGTATTGGGAATAGTTGTCATATTGACCACCATCACAAGGTGCTCCACTTAGCTAAAACCTTACTGACTCATGTATGCCCTTACCTATGGTTTGTCTTCAAATACAGGAATGGATTTGTTCCTTTACATTTGTGTTAAAAAGGTTTTTAATCTGCTGTTATCAAGGGAAGCAGAAAGGCTGCATATTTAGAAAAATTATCCAGGTGGCCTAAAACCATCTTTGTGAATTGGGAACATGTCACACAAGAAAAGGTTCTGAAAAACAGAAATAGCTCGTTTTTAGAATGAAAGAAAATAAAAGGACAATATATATCAGTTTCAAGCCTTTGTTGCTATATTTCGTCTATGATGAATTCCTATTGTCATATCTTCTATGAAATTCTGACTGATTGATTGCTGGAAACAATGTATCAAAATTAGCTCTGTACTTCAGCACTTCATTGAGTGCTTTTCCATGCAGTCAGATTGTTTTTGTAGGGATAGTTTTCAGCTCCAGACCATCTTTTAAGAATCAACTTCTTTGTTCTTTTTTTAAAATTCTTAAAGAAATTCTCCTTCAGCATCAAAATTTTGCTTGTTGCTTAAATGTATTTTTAAGCAGGATTTATTATTATTCTCTTGCAGAGTCAAACACAAGAAGAACATTCGAAACCTTTAAACTTCTCAATTACACCCGACTCGTTACAAGGAGTTAGAGAGGTCTGCTCTATTTAAATTGATTTTAGACATTCGATAATGCTGCTTTGTCAGATTTTGAAATGCAAGCCTGTTATTTTGGATGGCCTATGTTGCTTTACATAATCTAAGTTTCCTATCTGTTAAGGGGCTTAGAATATTAAACTCCCCTCTCCTTCTTAAAATTTTTTGATAGCTAGTTGGCAAAACCTGAATGTAGGTGAAACGAGGACATTTTTGTCTTTATCTAATTTCCTTGTTCGTAGATTTATGATCAACCCTTTCCCTGTGAAGATTTCTTTTTTGATCAATGGCTTAACATATATAAGTACCATTCATTATGCCTAAAGTGCAGATTGTATTTATTGTAAGTGATAAAAATCATATTTTGTCACTTGCAAGTTGCAAGACCTCTAATCGACTCGTTTATGACAGAAATCAAAGATTCCACCATTTTACGTCACTGGAAAGTTGGATAGTGTTTTATGCCCAATAACAGAGCCATTTACGGGAGAGGTATGTTTATAATTTTTGGTTTTTATGTGTTAATTGTATAAAATTGCTATTATCATCAGAAGTAAAGGAAAACATTATTTATGTTGATATTTTTTATGCACCTGTTTAGTATGCTGTAAAGATTTTTATCAATAAGATTAGCTGGGGAGCTTTTCTCTGGGAATATCGAAGTCAATTTTTCAAGTGCAGCTCAAGAAAATGTGATCACTTCTTTGGGGAATTCTCCATGTATGTGCAATATGAAATGTGACTCTTTTCTGTCTGGAAGGGTTGCTTTTCAAAGGTCGTACGTAGTCATAAACTACGTAGCTATACGACTGAAACTGGCCCGTGCCAAACTCTTATAATAGCCGAATTGTATTTTGCTTTTAACATTGATCATTTCTGATCATTTATTTTTTCAATTACAAACTAAGTACTTGGTAACTTTTCGAGTTTAGCTCTTCATCAGGTGAGTTATGAGTTATGCTCGTCATACTTAGCTTTCTTTCATGTAAAAAGTCGTTATCTAATTGTATTAATTTTTGCTCATTATTAATCGACATAAAACACGCTGAACTACATTGATTATCAATTAAATGTACAGAGCAACCCTAAGATACTCCCCCACTTCATATGTGTGTTGTAACTTCACTTGTGAATGCAACTAGTTCTTCTGTCCTGTTGCAGCTTGTACTAGAGAATTCTGATGCAACAATCAAATCGATTGAGCTGCAATTGGTCAGAGTTGAAACTTGCGGTAAGTTTTGTTTGTATTGAGTTTGGCAATCAAAACCCGCGCGCAGACTCTTCTTAGGGAAGACAAATAGCCCTTCAGATAACTCAGGGGTTTCATCACCGTGTCAAGCTCAATTTAGTCCAGGAGCAACAAACAGCGTAACTCTTTAGCCAGTGTCCCTAACAATAACTGTAATCTTTGGTGATGCACAAATGAAGTTACATTATTGGTACAAAAATACAATCTAAGTCACAGGGATTTCGAGCTGAAAAAATTATTACGTTCATATTAACATCTTTAGATATAGAAATTGCTTTAACCATTTTCTACACATGCAAGTTATAATTATCAAAACCCGTGTTGACTTCCCATCCTTTGAAAACTGCAGTAGGAACCATTCTATTCTGAATGTTCGGAATGTGTCACAGGGTTGTGTTTTACTTCGCCTAAAAGATTGTGCTTTCAGCTTGGACTATAGCAGTTTAATTAGAAATTTTGCCCAGTTTATGGATTTTTGCTCATCAGACCAGACACCCCTTGCGCTAATGCTACATATAGGTTCATCTCTTTGTTGAAACCAACTTCATTATTTTTTTCAAATATCGATGAGTTAAATTCTTTATTATCTTTATTGTGTTTATTGTTTTTTTGAAAATTATTAACCGCCATTTTTCAGGTTGTGCGGAGGGGTATGCTAAAGATGGTACGTAATTTTAACTTACGTCGTGTACTTTCAAGTTACAATGAATTTATTCCACCATTTTAATTCAGATATTTTAAAGATAATGGTTGCAAAAAAGCAGCATGTTTCGCTTCTTATTTAGTTACATCCAGTTTATATATACTGTTGTTTTCTATGTACCAGTAGCCCAGAATAATATTTAGATTTGATTTCACATAAATCTAGATATGAATAGAATTTTTCAATAGCTATTTGCATATTTTTCTAATCAGCATGTTTCATTCACCATGAGAACCATTGTCAACATTCCTTGACTTTTATTTAGCAAATTTTTCTTTCCACATTGTCTTTGAGAACTTTAACATCCAGTTTCTGAGATTTGAAAGCGACCCCCTAACAAAAGCCTGAAGAAATATGATATTTTGCTTGTTTTTAATTAGGTGCTTCTTGTATTTGAATCCTTTCCTTGAACTGACAATCCTTGAACAAATTAGAATTATTTGGAGTATTTACTTTTCAGCAACGGAAATCCAGAACCTTCAGGTATATCTCTTAACTCCCTGTATTTATTGACATAAATTTTTTGCCATTTTGAACCTCTTCCGTATTGCTTCTGTGTGTTCTTTTTGATAGTTCAAGTAATTTCTAGCAATTTGTAAGCCACAAAATTGAATATGCAATTATCTTTAGATTTTTATAGGTAATACGCTCTCTAGACATTTTGGAGTTAGGGGTACAACGCAAAGACAAGCTCCACAAATTCAATTAGAAATCCAAAGCAAAGTTTTGCTGCATCTTCAGGGAGCATCTTGTTTTTCAGATCGCTGAAGGTGACATCTGTCGTGGAATGTCAATACCAATTTACATGATTTTCCCAAGGCTGTTTACCTGTCCTACACTTGGGACGACTAATTTCAAAATTGGTAAGTAATTACTATGTGGCTATTCTAATATTTCTCCTGAAACTAGTTTTCATGTGACATTCATTCATTCATTCATTCATTCATTCATTCATTCATTCATTCATTCATTCATTCATTCATTCATTCATTCATTCATTCATTCATTCATTCATTCATTCATTCATTCATTCATTCATTCTTACAGTCATTCATTCATTTTAAACACTTAATGTTCCATACCATGCTCTTCAAATCACCAGAAACTGATGTCACACCCAAATTATATTACTAAACAAAACTTTGTTATGTTATCTCATTTTTGCACGAATTCAAAATTAATACTCAAAATTACCTTCGATACCCGGACACCACACAACTGGTATCAAGCACCTTGAAAGGTTGTTGCCCTGTTGATGAATAGCGGAGAGTGGTAAGCACCTCAACAGGATCTAAATCAAAAGGACCCACATTTTGCCACATTGATTCTTTTATCCAAGAACACTATTAAGAACTGCTGTGAACATTCTATATGAACCCCACCAGTTCACCAGTCTGATTAATTAAGTAGTAAGAATTCCACGATATAAAGTGAAAGGTTTTTTGCAGAAGAGTTGCAAACTCTAACTAGACTGCAATTACTGGATTTTTTGCTCGTTTTTTCGCAGAAAGGGACGAAAGGATCGTTTCCTATTGTAATTCGTCAAGTTGTTTTTGCTACACTTTTTCGCATGCAGATGTGCGGCAGGTCATCACTCTAAGGAAATACGAACTTTTTGCGTAGGTGTCAGTGTGAAAACAGAACTAGACGTAGACATCGTGGAATTATGAAATCCCTCTCTGAAAAATGATTGTTGTTCGCAGTCGATATTGCAATGATAGGTGGTGGGCGGTACCAGATGTTATAAATCATGGATTTTAAGAGTAGAACCTGTTTTCAGATGTTATAGGGGATCTTCTGCGTGTGAACCCGAACTGAAAGTAGGTAGTTGTCTACCGTAAATGTTTTCGAAGCAAAGCGACTGTTGTTTTCATTTATGTCAACATTCAACAATCGCCATCCTACTAGCTTTCATTACACAGTTTGTCTAAAAAAGAAAGGAAATTCTGTTTCGTATAGATCATAGGGGAAAATTAGTACATAGGGCAGTTATGCTTTAAGGTGTTACGAAGAATCATCGTGATATTATGAAAGCATTTAATAATAATAATAGTAATAATAATGGTACAATCGAGCATATCCACTACAAGTGTGGCTCTTCAACTCTAAAATTAAAAGGAAAGTCAAATTACTGGTTCAGAAGTTAAAAAAAATAAAAGATATAAGCATTTGGATAAAAGAGGGTGCAAATTAGAGACTACCATAAGAAAAACTTGATACAGCACTGGTACCTGTCACGTGCCAACGATTTCTTTCCTATGACACCTAAAAATCACCATCAGTTGAGTCGCAGTAAATAGCGACACTAGTCTTGATTTGTTTCGTCATGAATTGATAAAGAATATACCCGATATCTCTTCTTTGCTTTTTGCATTAACATAGCAATATTTACATTGCCCATTAAAGAGAAATTTTTTCAATGAGAATTTATTGTCTTATGTCATAATCCCAAAATGTGTTTCATTATACTGAGTTTTATTTCAAATGGTTGTGATTTTATTGACAAAACTAACCTCAAATTTGGTTGAAAATGTCTTATGTTAGAAACAAATGAACTGCTTCAATATATTTCTCCTTTTCAAGCTATTTTAGAGATATATTTTAGAGTATAGTTGTCAATTTTTTGTTGTCACACGATTGTTCAGATGTGTCTTTTTCTTTAAATCCAGAATTTGAAGTCAATATTGTTATTGTCTTTGCTGACGATCATTTGGTGACGGAGAACTTTCCAATAAAAATTTACAGACCGCAATAAGTATTCGTATGATTTATAACTTGATTGTCTTTTATATTTGTTTGATGTATTAACGCTCTTTCTACTTGTATGAGGTAAGAAAAGTGAGAATTATTCATATCATAGACCAATAAACTAATGTTTTGAGCTATATAGTTTTAAGTGATAGTTCAATCGATTACGTCAATTTATCCTTTTTCGATCATAAATGTTCACAACAAGTAAACCTCTTACTCTTTAAAGCTCCCTGAAGAACAGTTCAAATTGGTTTACAGGGTCTAAATAATTGAATATTGATGGATTAATGACGGCAGTACACTGACGAAATGTATTCTGAAACGAGAAATTATATTTCTCAGAGGTTTATACTAGTGGATATATTGGCAAAATTTTTAAACGCCAAAACTGATTTTCGTCCAGCCTTTCTTAAGTTATGGAAAAGTCGCCCACATTGTAGATTTGGGTTTTTGTTTCAATACGGCAATAAATTCTTCCATTTTCAGCTCACCAAAACATTGCCCGTAATTGTCGATCTAGTAGAGCAATTTCTTTAACCCGTGAGGCCGTCTCTTCATCACAGCTTAACGAACATAAAGTGAGATCTTGATCTTCAATCTAGCTGTTCAAAGTACCCGTCTTTTCTAGCTCTTATACGTGTTCATCTTTTTCAAGTAAGTATAATCTCAAATTCTTCCTATGTTATGATGGCCTAAAGATATTACTAGTGCTTGCTATTGAGGTTTGAAGTTTTGAAAGCAAGTTCTGGCCCTTGTTCGAGTATAGGTCCACACTAATTACCCCATATATGCTTTCAATTATGGTCCAAATAGTTCTTCTAAAAAGATATGAAGATTTGTAGGAAATTGATTGTTCGTATTTCATATACTAGTGCAGCTACTAGATGCCACTAGATCCAAGATCTTATAAGAGTTGTTTAAGGTTGGTTATTATGCTGATTTCTAATGCATTCCATATTAATTCTTTTATTGTTCGTTGTTTCGATTTTCAAATACCTTTGTATTCTACAAAACCCAGTATGATGAAACCTGAAAACCATAAAACGTGTCTGTTTTTATTCTCATGTTGAATTTCTGCCTGCTTCATTTAGGTTGAAAAGGGTTCTCGCCCTGCGAAAATGAGTGGTGCCCTGCAGACCTCGTAGCAAAGGTTTGTCTATAGGTTACTAGTGAAAGCTTTACCAGTGTACATTTGTTTTTACCAAGGACAAACTTCTAAGCAAATCAAACTTGAAACTCCATTGCCTATGAAATATCTATTTATCTACGTGAGCGTAAATTAAATTTGATTTTTCTTTGTAATAAAACTTGTATCTCATGGCATATGATTTCGGTTACATGATGTGGACAGCGCGACGGAATTGAGCCAGGGGGGGGGGGAGCTAAAAATCAAGTTTGGTGAGGTGGGAAGACCCACCATGGTTGGGTCCGACGTGAAGAAAATTTTTGAAATTATATTTTGTAAAAGGGCTAAAAAGCATCTCCCAGACAAAAATTTAGCAAAATATTATACTACTAGAAAAACTGATTATTGTTAATTGGGAAAAATAGGGAGGAGGGGTGTCATGCTAGAACTCTGGAGATAGACGTTGTGGAAGGGAAGAAACGGTAACCTTTCGTTTCAGATTGCACATTGTTGTGAATGACAGAGGAAGATGTTGTTTTGCTTGGGAGAAATTTATTTCCTGAACAGAAATGTGCAGTTTCTTGTCTCGAGAAGGCCATGTTTACCCTTCAAAATGAAAACATTGCAATGATACAGAAAGTGATTTACTGACTTAATGCAAATAAAAGAAAATAATAAAAATATACGTGAAAAAGTTAGTAATTAGATCAAACAAAATCGGCATCTTAACAGTTTATTCTCTTTTCATTTTATACACTGTTTTAAAAAGTAATAGAAACAATGACAAATAATTCCTATCTTGACCAAAGTGGGGGCCTTCAGCCCCATAGCCCCCTAAGTGGCACCGTGCCCGTCATGAAAATAACCTACAACTTAAATTAATTTGTGTGGACTCAACCTTGCCTTCATAAACATATGCATCAATCACTTTCGCTTTGCTGATAACTGAGCAAGCACCACGCATCCATTGGGCTAGCAGGGGCTATAGCCCCTCCACTTTTTTGCAATAATAGATAAAAAATTTTTTTGGAAAGTTTACTCTAACTATGCTTTAGTGCAATCTTGGATAGTATACTCCTAAGTAGTAGCAGTTCTTCTTCACTGGGAACCCCTTTTGTTCATTTTCTAGGTGTTTTTCTTGAAGTTTTATTATCCCCAAGCTAATTTTATCTATTTCTATAGCTATTGGTATATTTTCTGATCCAGAATGTTTATAAAACTTCCGTAGGAATAAGCAAATATTCTCTAAAAGGGGCGTTTTTCGGCGTTCTAGAGGGCGTGGCCTCAAAAAATTTCCGGTTACGCCTTTTCAGCCCTCCAACATTTAGACTGGTGGGCGGTCCTTGTAACTGATACCTGTAACTGAAGGGCTATTTTTGTTATTTTGAATAGAATATTTTCCAGAAAATATTTTGATATAGGATTTTGTAAATTTACTTGTCCGATAAAAAGTAAAACTTGATAAACTATTCCCAAACTGAACGTTTTGTTTAACTGAGCGAATCTACGGCCTCTCACTTCTGCTGTGGTAGTTCCATACAGTATTAAAAATGCTAAAACTACAGTTGAGCAACTGAAAAATTCTGTGGAAGTTGCTTGTGGTTATTTGCTATTTCCATCATAATCCTGTTCTCTTATCGCCTTCCTTCCCCTGATAAAAAAATCGTCCTGATGGTCCTTGTATCTTCCAGAGTCCTCAAAAGTTTATTTTATCTAGCCTCGTTTTAGAATTCAGCACGAGGCTGACTGAAATTTTGGCGCCGAATCTGCTCTTGCCTCTAGAAGTGGACTTTTTACAATTTTTTTTGCATACTCTACCCAGCTGATCTGAAACAGATGATTGATCTAACGACGAAGTAAAAGCAATCTGCTTTATTTTGCTGGTTTATTATTGCTGTAAAGGAATTCATAGGCCTAAAATCTCTTCAAGACTAGCAAAAGGGTGTTGATTGTTATGCAAACTCGTGGGAAACGAAAGAGCTCCAATTCAAATACAGAAAATACTGAAATGAGTAAAAGGTCAGAGACAAATGGAACTGCAAAGAGCGAAGTGGACGAATGGGTAATGCTGGCTCCTAGTAAGTATTTAGTTATGCTTTCTCCAATTTAGTTCTTCAGTTGCGAGAGTCTCATGATCTTTCATGAAACGTTCTAGTTCAGGCAAAACAGAAATGGGCGCCCATTTCTGCTTTATTTAAGAATAGTTTAGGTTTTACAACGTGTAAATTTAAGTCGAACGATGATCCTAAGCCAAGGCAATGCTAATATGTTTAAAGATATTGACTGTTTTTCAGTCATGGACCTCCCTTTCTGTATCTGGCCTATTTCCTTTTTTGGTAAATCAGGGCCTTTCAACTTAACTGCCTCGCTTGACATCACAACATGTAATCTCCAAGAAACCCAAGCCAATTTGACAATAAGAAAAAGGGATGCTCTTATGCAAGTTATTTTATAATATCTTGTAATTGCAGCAGTGGTGTAGATAGGAAAATTCACAGGAGGGGGGGGGGGGGCACACTGCAGAGAATGGCAAGTGCACACCCAGATATTACCTGCACACTTGGTAAAGGCTGTGGCATTTTGAGATAATGGTGTGACATGGGTGTGTCTTATTGCTTTTGAAATTGGCAAATGAAGAACCATGTTTCCCCAAGATGGACATAATCTTGCATTGGTTTGATAGATACAAATTAACTATCAATTATGTCAACTTTTTGTAATCGTTGATGTTGTGTGAACTATGAAGTGCCCATTCTTGCTAAAGTGCCTACTTGAAATCTTGAAATTTTGCTCTTACACATCCGATCTCTCATTGGAAACTGCCACTTTGCAGTCCGAGGAAGGGCAAGATATTTACATTTTTCAACCAATAACAGATAAGCATTTTATTTCGCAAAAGTTGAAGATAACATAACAACGCTAAAACTGAAATAAAAAGGAGATGATATCTCATCATTTATTTAAAGTCAAGAGTCATAAATCAAGCTAATTGAAAATTTCCTTGCCTTCTAATCCAAAAAAAGCCATGAAAAAACTTTCATAGCTTTATTGATTGCCAATTTAATTTGGAGAGTCAGAATAAATTGTTATATTTAGCTTTTATAAGCCTTCCTTTCAAAATGTAACACTTAGATAAAAATAGACAACCATGTTATATTTCTTTCACAATCAGAAGTTTTCCAAAAAGATGGCTGTTTAGCTTTACAGGAGGAGGTTTTTTTTGTCTCTCTGAACCCCTTTATCTATGTCACTGAATTGTAGAATTGAGTAAAAAATCTTAGCACAATGGCCACATTGAACATTAGGTTATGTTCAAGAAACACTCGATTATTTTTGTTACTCATGATTTGACTCATTAAGAAATAATTACAATCCAATAAAGAATATCAAATATTAGACTAAGCCATTTATATCTTGTTGTATGTTTTGAGATGAAATTTGTCCCATCTTCAGCAATAACCAAGGTATTTCAAAATTCAAAAACCATATTATTGCTGAACATGGATCTCTATGAAGATAATCAACAACACTAGTCACACACCGTAGCTACTGTACCATTCTCACACCTGATAAAGAGTTAAAAGCGACTCACTAATACAAAATTATTATCATTATTTTTAGAAACATTACTGAGCATCACAAGTAATGAAAACAAAAAGCAAAGCCCATGCTTACATAAGCTGCCACACCCAAAGTCAGGTATTTATGCCTTTTCCATTCCCTCTTTCATATGATTGATTACTTTTAATTATTTTCTATGGTTGTTGAAAGCTTCATCTTTATACTCATTGGAATTCCTTCTAGGTTTGCCTGCACTTTTTGCATTCAAAGAAGAGAAGGTTTTTGAGATTCTGAAATTCACAGAAAAGTACCGATCTTGGTTCTATGATGACTCTGTTATCGAAGGTAAAGTTATTACATTACATCATGGTATTTGTAACATCATTACCTCAAGAGGGATTTAGAGTAACTGATGATGTTCCAGTCCTTTTCGTGAGCAAAATTACGCGTGTGTGGCAAATCGCACATGTAAACAAATTTGCGCGTGCGATCGCACTTGTAAGAAAATTTAAAGTACAAACCTGATAAAATTGGTAAAAGGAGCAAGATGGGAAAAGCCACTCGAATTCGTGCAAGAGCAAAACTCAATTAATCAATACATAACAGATTTTGTTGCCCTTAGCAGCCATTTTTTAAAAGTCGTCGTCACTCTCCAAAGTTACAAGAGCAAGTAAAAATTGTTTCCAACAGCTACTTGCTTTCAGGGCCTAATTACGTTTTGACAGGAAATCAGTTATTACACTTAACAGCTAATGGCGACTTAGCTGAAAGACGAGACGCTAAGTTGAATGGAGCACTCAGTCAAAAGCCAAACATCACTTCCAAAAATTGGAAAAATCATATTGTCGTCAAAAGTGCGAATCAAGTAACAAGGGAAAGGATAAACAATCATGAGACCATGAGAAATTGATGTTAAAAAGCCTCTCCAGCAAAAAAAATTTTTTTTTAATGACTTAAAAGTTAGCATCTGGTGCGTGTATTATGACAAAGTCATTGTTTTTCCAAAATTCCAATTAGTTTAGAAGTTGTAAGGCTTTAAAGTTGCATCTTTCCGAGAAAAAAAACGACAAAAGCCGAATCAGTTTGGTGACATTCTGACGTCACAATGTGCGGCTCTCGTTCGCCATGAATTTCGTATATCTTCCACCGAAGCGCGAAGGACTCATGGTCACGCGTTGATAACTGCATCCAGTTCCAGTTCCTGTTCCAGCTCTTCCCTCGCGTATAATTAATCGAAATTGTCACTTCAGTTGTTCTCCAGAAACGATGAACAACTAAAGGCTTCAGAATTGGTGTCTGAAATGCTCAAACTGAAAGCTGGTGGAACAGAACTGAGAGTACCATCACTTGCAGTGTTCAATTTGCGAATCGCCGTCGTTCGATTCGGTTTGAGGCGAGACTATCCGAAATACACTGTGACGTCAAAATTGCGTCACAGTGTCACCAAACCAACAATTTTTGTCGGTTAATTCAATTCAATTATCGAAATGCAAGAGCTTATATCTCACAAACTGTAAAAAATATCGAAAAACAAATAACGAATTCGTGATCAGCAGGCTCAACTTCTTTATAAAAATTGCCAATAAAATGCAAGTGCAAAATTTGGCTGGAGAGGCCCTTTAACAGAAAACTGCAAAAACACCTGTTTGCGCGTGTGGTCAAAAGCACGCGCAATTTAACTTGCGCGTGTGCAGGCGTGTGCGGGTGCGATCGCACGCGCTAAACGAAAAGGACTGATGTTCTATCATTTTTTCATACTTGCTAATAAGTTGTTTATATTAGTGTGATCTGTTTGTTTTGTTCCACATCCTCAAGCTGTTTGCCACCAGAAGTGCCTATCCTGCCCTAGATAAAGCATCACAAGTTTGACATGCATTTATAAGTTCTCAAGAAAGCAACACATTTCCAATTAGAAACTTACGAAAATTGATTATTATTTTCTTATATTAAGCTTTATGTATTGTTGATTATACTTAATATGATTCTGCAAGTTTTCAGTTTGATATCCTCTCTCCTCTTTTGAAAAGCTTGGCACTAGTTTTGTGAATTTTTTTCCTCAGGTGGATCAGTTTATCTTCTAACTCCTATTGATCCGATATTTCTTGCCATACCATTTTTAGGAACAATGGCCAAAACTGTGAGTATTATCTTTAAAGCTCATCATCACATACACAGTTGTTATATTTTTCGAAAAATAATTTTTCCAGAATCATTTTATTTCACGTTGAATTTTTGAAGTTTAGCTTGCTTTTCTTCAAGGCTGTCATTTCCCATAGATTTAAGGATGTGTAGATTTGAGTTGTATGAAATGTGAAACCTGCCAGTTTGAAAAATGACAATACTGCATCCAAATGACATTGAAATTGTAGCTCAGATATCAATTATAATGCCTTTTATACCCTTCAAGCAGGACACAGAGAGCCAAATAAAGGAACATAAGAACTGCTTTGAAATATTCTTCCTGGCCTATATGGACCATTATGATGCTTGCTAAAAAATTTTTAGCCATTGTTTGTCTTATTTTATGTGCAAAGAACACAGAGCCTGAAAGAATCAAATCTTGCTGTTACAACATGTTTGTTGAACTGAACTACACGAACTAAACTTACTAGAGAACAGTATTATTAATGATAATAAGTAATATTTAAACAGGTTTACTTGTTCAGTGTATATATTTACATGCTTATATACAAGTTGGGTATATAAAATTTGCAATGCTTACTAAGGTAAGGGTGATGAGAAAGTAAACAATAGTGACTGTGCTGTGGTTTGAAAACGTGGTGGAATGAATGAAAAGGGAAAGTGATGTTAATAGGCCTAAGCAGAGTCTTTGTTAGATGATTAAAATTTGTTATATTTTCTCACAGGGGAAATTTATGCCAATGGAACAAATTTTTGTAGCCAAGGACTTCCAAGCTGGTCTTCAGTTGTTGGAAAACTGCATAACCAAATCTGAATTGGAAACGATTTGTGAAATTAAGGGCTCTCTTGATCTTTCTGCATACAAGCTAGACACTGACAAGTTGGTCACATGGCTAAAAACCAAGGTATTTTCTATTAACACTCATGATCGTTTCAACCAAGTCACTTTCATGTTACAGTGAGAACCATAAGAAATGCAAATAGCAGTCTGTGATCAGTTACATAAATGTATTTCATTATTATTTTCGCAACCTTTGCCTGATAAAGTAATGCAGGTGTGTTCATGATGTGAAATTCTTTGATTCAAGCACTGTTGGGATCACTTTCAACCAGCTTTCAGCACCTGTCCATCATTTGAGGTCAGAGAATGAGTACCAAGGGTATTCATTTTAAATTATTAATCTAGGGAAACTGGCAGCAGGTCCACACCAGCCATAAGCTGCAAGATAACCCTAGCCTGTGTTAGCAAATAAATCTTGCTTTTTTGTTTGCATTTAAGCAAGCAATAGACCTTTTTTTAGAAACCCTTATTTAGGAATAGATAATCAATACAAGTGGCAACCATTTTAACTGTAGAAAAAGGCTTGATATCGTTTTCTGTTAAATGATAGCACAAGAAGACCATGTCTGTTAGGGGGTGTTTTATCATTAAATTTAACTCTTCATTTCCCAGTTACAATCTAAAGTGTTGACACAGACTTTGGAATCCTTAATAAAAATGAGAATGAATCATTAACATGCTGCTTGCATTGGCTGGATGTATGAAGTATTCCAAGTAAATACTTATTGTTTTGTTAATCCAGAGAAGGAAAGTTTGATTGTAGCTGTAGGCTATAAATTTCAGAAATGCTTTAACTACTTAAGATATAAACTAGAAGACTTCAATTTTCTATATAGACATTTGTAGACACCCTGTCTTTTACTTTTATTTGTTATCAAGAACTTTGAACACGCCAGTTTATCTAGTTTTGATTCATTATGACAAGCTGGCCAGGCCAGTTTATCTAGTTTTGATTCATTATGCCAGTTAACTTTATCCTATAATTCACGTTAGGTTGAAAAGCTCGCGGACTATTTGGAAACATCGAAATTTCACGCCGGTGCAGGTGCACATGCTGCAAATTTTGTCAAATCCTCGCATGATAATTCATGCTCTCGAGGTAAGAACAGAAAAGTAGTAAATTTAAGTAAAATCAGATTTAAAAAGCGTGGTATTGTCAGCAACGGAACAAAATTTATAAGTGTATATTTGATCCCCGTAACAGCAGTCAACTCATTTGCCTTGGTGTTGGAGACAGCTTTGTCTATGATTATCTTTCTTTCCCTTGAATTAGCCCCCCTTTTCCCATCAGTCGCTATAATGAAAAAGCCATTGTAAGAAAGTTGCTCTCATTTGCTTGATTGTTCTTTAATCTGACAGCATAATGGGAACTTGTTCGAGAGAATGACAAAGTTCAGCGCAGCTTGCAATTTTGACGAATTTATCACTGTTCGGTTAACAACGATTTAAATTTTTACCTTGATGTGGTCTTTTCTTGTTTCTGTCAATGTATCCGGAAATATTTGATACATCTTCAGCCTGTGAAAAATCTTGATTTGCCCCCTTTTTGCGCTCTTTTCACAGTATTGCTTTTAATGTGGGCCTTGGCTAGATATAACACTAATATTTATTTTGCGGGAAACACTCACAGAAATTGTTCTCTCCGGGCGGATCGATTTTTGTAGAATTGAAGTAATATTTGATCTCTTCTGCATGATAATAAGGGTGAAAACTTTAGGCCATTTTTGCAACGTCTCTTCCTTTTCTCAGGAATTCTTTTCAATCCTTTTTCTCTAGTGCGATTTTATAGCCCTCGGTATGTAATTTCAAAGTAAACTAATCTACATTTGAGTCGCAAATGATTAGAGCTAAAATGCCCTTCTTTTCTATAAACTGATTGTGTGCAGCCATTAAGGCATTTTTCGCCTAGTATTACCAGCAAAGCTACCTAGTAGAGTTCAGATGTTTGGCTTAAAATCTTAAAACTCGGAGGGTTAAAATTTTATAAGAAACTTTATTTAGAAGATTCAATTATTCCACGATATATATTTTCAATGACTTGTGATGCATGCATGAACTATGTGTCAAAGGGGCTGCTCAACGAAACAAACGTGAAGTTGCAAACATTTACAATGCCCGGTATGATGTCCCATATAAGGCCGTTTCCTAAACCACGGTATCATTCATCTTTGTTAACCCAGAAAACTTCAATAAGTAACAATCAAAGAACAAATGTTACAGTTACAATTTAGTTTTGAGTTGACCATTTGTTACTTCGGTATGTTGATGTAGTTTGTTGCTTTCCTCTCCTCCTGCATACCCTGGGTGCCCCATATTTTAGTCCAAGAAATATGTTTTAAATCTACTCTCAGAAATACTTATTTGAAAGGTAATTGGAAAAAGATATATTCTTTCCTTCTCCTTCTCTGGACCCACTACGTTACTACTGCATTGGTCTACAATACCATATCTCTGTTAACTTGAGGCTCTGTTACGCAAGGTACCTCCTGCAACCGTCATTTAATGGGGCAAAGACCATTGTTTTCAAATTTTTGCGAAGAAAATGTAGATGAATATCGCGATTCGCTACACAATAAAAGTTTTAATTCTCTTAACTTGTTTGTTAATAATCTAAAAAAGTTTTGCCGCTTTTGAAAAGTAATTAATCTATTTTGTCAAATTTTTTTCTTTAGTTTTGCCAAACAACAGAGAAACTAGTCTTAATTTTGAAACGTTTATCGCATGTTTATAAAATAATTTTATTGGCTCATAGATAATTTTTATTAGACGGGTTTTTGGATTGCCTGCTGTTTGACTTTTTATCCAAATGGTGATTGTTGCCACCAGTTAATGTTTTAATATCTCTCGTCCTTAAAGATAAGACAGATTCTTGATTAAAAAAATCAAGCAAAAAGCTATCGTCTTTTCGTAAGACTTGCAAAAAGCTATCGTTTATTATATTATATGATATTATATTATATGATATTATATGATATTATATTATATTATATTATATTATATTATATTATATTATATTATATTATATTATATTATATATATTATATTATATTATATTTATATTATATTATATTTATATTATATTATATTATATTATATTATATTATTATATTATATTTATATTATATTATATTATATTATATTATATTATATTATATTTTGACTCATTATTACATCATACCATAGTATATTCGTTTGTATAACGTAATAGAATAAGGCTTAGATCCATCTTGTATATTACTTGAATTTACTGATCAAAAACCGAGTATAATAGCTACTTACTTATTTTCTTTTTTAGGTGATTACGTATTGTACGCTTTTGAACTGGTGTCAGACTATTTAGAAGAAGAATTGGCTGAAAAACTGAGGAATCATATGCAGTATGTATGGCTAGACTGAATATTCCCTCTCAAAAGTACCCTTAAACTGATATTTATTTGATATCATTAGAAATTCCCTATCTCAAAAGTTTCTACTAAAGTTCCAATCTAAAAAGAACTCGAACCGTAATGACAGAATTGTGTCTTTTGTTTGAAATCTATGCATCAATGTGTTCATCTTTTTTTGTTCCTTGTAGGATTTCTCTTTTTTCGTTAATGTTTCCCTTTGATTCTTGAGGCTCTTTGTTTTTAACTGAATTTCTTCTCATTTGATTTAGACTGAACTAACCACTCTGTTTTCTCCCAACCTCTTTTTAAAACTTTTCACCTTGCATTTTAAAATATATCTGTCCTGTCATTGATTAAAAGACAACCCCAATTTAGTGAAATTTTCTATTTTTCGTTGCCCCTGTAAATTTGAGCCCCCTTTCCCCCCAAATCAATGCTGGATAAGTCTACCACTCGTACTCTTTAAACAAGCATTCAACGTTGTATCGGAGGAGATACCCTTTTTTCCTGGAATTCTAGTTGCTATGTCAATGTTTTTCCCCGTTGGCTGAGCTGTGTCTCGACTGCTTTGCCCTGACCTGGTTGAGTAGCTAAAAAGCTAAAATCTCCACGGCTACTTGCAATACATTTTGAAAGCAACTTTTGAAAGCAATACATTTATTTGTATTATAAAAGAGGCCTTTAAATTAGTAGAGAGTGCGGGAAAATAACCGACCCGAGCGAGGCTCTCGAACTCACGACCCTTGACTTTGTATAGGCCCTTAAATCCTTCTTCTTTGACCAATTTCTTCCTCTCTGTGTTTCAATAATTATTTTTTTATCAAGAGCGTTTCCCGATTTCCCTCTGCTTCTCGAAAACCATTTTTGAATGCGCGAAACGTTTAAAATTTTGAGATTAGCTTAAGAGTTTTTTTTTATTTTTTACAGAATCGTTGCATCACCCCCAAAGCACCTGTCAGAGGAGAAACAGCCTCCTGCAAAGGTTTTATGGCAGCTTACAAGCTCCAAATAACTTGCATTTATTTTATCTACATTTTTATTATAAACTTTCTTCAATTAGCCAAGATACCCATTTCATGCACAAATTGACCATAATTACATTTAAGCAAGTTCAGATGAGATCACTCTTTTTTGCGGCACTTTTATTACAGCTTCCTTACTGTGCTTGACGTCTAATGCGAACAGTACCTTAAACGATGGAACGTGCAATGTTCAATGCTGTACATAACATTAGTTGTGATCTCAGTAGTGTAGTAATTTTTGAATATTCAGTCGTATACCAACCTCAGTATATGGCGATGAAGATGAGGTCGAAGGTAAACTGTTGAATGAATGATAGCGAATCTTTAAGGAACTCTGCTGGATTATGGGAGCTTAAGGGTGACAAGGTCCACCAAGTACAGAAAGAGTTTCGGTTATTCACTAAAAAGTTCAAAACCTTGGATTTCATTATTTTCTTTATATCTTAGCTTTTTAGTTATTTATTTCTAATCTCCTTCATTGCAGAAACAAAAACTGAACAACGACAATGACAACTCTGTTTGTGTCGAGGATTATAGAGATAAGCACGCCAAAATAGATAAGGTACATTCTGCATTTATTAAAAATCTGACTACTGATTTTCAAAGAGACATCAAAAACGTCGGTGCAGTTTTATCTTTAAGGCTATGCGCTAAACTAGTTGAGGCAGGAAGGGGGATTGTTGTGGTGGTGCTTTATGGAGAAAGACCTGAAACGTGGCTAGCTTTTCAAAATTCTTCATCATATGCACATGCGCAGTTACGGTCACTGACGTTATTTTCAGGCCGCATAATATATTCTGTGATAGGAACGTTCGTGGCACTTATGGATTTAACCTAAATCGAATCAAAAGACGAAGAAATTTTGGAGAAGTGGGTGTATTGAAAAGAGTGAGAATGAAACTCTGGTTTATATATACAACCATGAGATATAATAGTTTTGGTAAGTGCTATGAAGCGCCATTAGATGTAAATTTTTCCCTTCGCCCTAATTCGCATGTTCATATGATGCACTTTCTCATTGGTTCAGATAGAACAATGACCGTAAACAATAGGAGTTTAGACTCGTCTCTCCATCAAGTACAAACAATTTGTAGTTCAATGAAGTTCTTCAACTTTTGAGCCAGCCACTCTCTTCCAAGGTCTTCCTATCTTCTCAGTTAAATTAGTGTAGCTGCTGTAGAGGTTTATGGTTCTGTTCTGATCAGTTGAAATACCTGTTAGGAGGTAGCTTTTGGTTTAAGATTTAGTAACACCTTTCCTAGTTTCTACCGGTTAGGGGGACAAAGCACAGTCACATAGGCTTGTTTCAAATTGTTGACACTAGATCAAGGACGAAATACTAATCCATGAAGTTTATCAATCTTCATCATTGGTCGAAGAACCGAATGAGTTATGTTTTGATTTTCCAGAAACCCGCGAAGCTAACGACAGCTCAAAAGCAGCTGGCAAAGATTGACAAGACCGGGATGAAATCAATGAACAGCTTCTTTGCAGTCAAATCTAAAAAGGTTTGAAAAATCTTGGGTGCTCTTTCAATATGTCAAGGAAGGATTGAAGTTTCAAACTTTTTTAGATCTGGAGGAATATTTGGCACCATTTGAAAGTATCGAAGATTTGGCCAAAATGAAACTCTTGTAGTGTAGTGAATGTTTTTGCCTCAGATAATGTGAATTAGCATAAGCTGATGCTGAGAATCACTAACGAACAATGGTGATTTTCCACCACGAAAACTTGCTCCAAAGAAATAAGTTGTTACCAGAACGGTTAGCAGATTTAGAATTAAACGATCAGCCGTATTTATCTTAAACAGTGAAGTTTTCTTTGTAAATAGAATTATCTCATTGTTCGAATACTCCTACATATGCGGTTAGTTTCTGCCTCTTTGCTACCCTATTGGTTGAGTTTTTAAAACAAAATGGCAAAGTGATTGCGTCAGGTACGATGGATGTATGTATAAAAATTACTGACTAACAGAAATATACCAGTTTTCTTTGATTGGTCAGAATATTCCTGTCAATCAATAAACCACCAATCGACTTCCGGTGTGATATTGTGTGACAGGAGAGAAAATGCTATTCTTGCAAAATCAGATGGAAAAAGGGACATATTTTGAAAATGGATATTTGGTCCCCTGCAAATTGAGTCATGCTGTGATCATGTCCACATACCCCGGTAGGGAGCCACGTGGATCAAGCTACCCCATGACTTCTAATCCACGAGGCCTGGTGAAGTTTTTCTTTTCATCCTCCTAGATTACACCTGCTCAAACGCATTCTATCGTTGCCAAAGAATGTTTGTACAGGTACAAAAATTTTTCTGCCATGCTGCTTGGTATAATATCACAGGAATCTCTACCGACGTCCCCAATTTAAGTTTGCGATGTTAAACAAGTGCTTCATTGCAGCTGCGAATATCACCGACAAACATAATTGCACCGTGTCCATCACTTTACTCTTTCATTGCAAATCTGCCAATTCTCTGTGAAATCTTAGAAAAATACCGGCTCATATTTCCCAACGACTTAGAACCGCATAGTATACCCCCCGAGAGGTTAGCACCTGAGATCAAAATTGCTAATCAAAGCTACAGCAAACTCCTAAACAAGTTTTGAGCTAAAGAAATCGCAACTGCTATTGGATCTAAAACCACCTGCGTTTAAAGAGAAACCTTAGGCAATAAGCCTTCTTGTTGAATTGAAACATATCCTTCAGATCTTCACGCTGCTGTTTATTTTTGCTATTGAAACAGGATCAGCTCTATGATGCCATTTAAATAATGCCATTAGTGTTGTTGTTGTAATTCATACTTTTCAAGGCCGTTTAATTATTTGTATTGGCTACGTGAGAGAAATAAGGCTAATTTTAATATGACCTGCGATAAAATTGCTTCAGATTTAATTTCATGGAGCTTTTTGCTACAGCATTCATATCAGAGAGAGTCATTTATGTTCGCTGAACGTTTCATTTATAACCAGTTCGTGTTACTAGAGGTGCATACTTTAAGCGCTAAAGCCCCGCATCTAGCGGCTTTGTCAAAATGCCTTTAGAAACTCCTATAAACACTATAATTCGTTCATTTAACTATGTTTTGGTCAGCTTCTATTTAATAACAGGGGCATAAACCCAAGATTTCTTCTTTCCCGCGTCACAGCGGGTTTCCCGCGCCCATCCTGCAAAAGTTTTTACACATAACTTTGTAACATTTTCATGAATATCTTGTCCTTTTTGGCTCCTTCGAGAAATTCCTCCATTGATAACTTGCCATCTCTATTTGTATCAAACATGGTGAAAACTTTCAATAGCTTCTCTTCCGAGGTATTCGAGTCGTCTAGCGCCCCAACCATTTTCTGAATGGACTGCACAATACTGACAATTTCCGTCTTTGTTATGTAGCCATTACCATCGATATCGTAAATTCCAAACGCCCATTTCAGCTTCTCATCTGAAGTTCCTCTAGTTGTCACTGATAAGGAGCATATAAACTCACGAAAATCTAAAAAAAGAGATATGAAATTGTCATCTAAGGGATAAGACTGCGACATTTTCAATATCCTGTAATTAGAACCAGTTTTATTGAATCTTCCATTGTGATTTTTTCAAAAATTGTTTGTCACTTCTATATTGAACTGGAGAACATAGGCCTACTCAGTAGCATAGAAATAATATTATTTGTCTGCCGAGCAATCGCCAAAGCGGGATACGTCACCTCCCCAGAGTCTTTGATAAGCTGTTGGCAATATTATTTTTTTGTATCCGTTTTCATTGATTGCTAAGACCATTTTCTTTAATTTCTAATATCTACCAATTTGCTTTATTTAAAAGAGCCAATAATATCAACAACAAATCCGAGTCTATCCAGAAAGGAAGTATATGGAAGTTTTTACATTTTATCATCTGTGTATTACCTAATATATTATCATTGTCATAGAAATTTCTGACTTGTACCTTCTCTGTGTGCTTTTCCATTGTCTGCTTGTGTTTCGTACTATAGTTTCTATGGTTCTGACAATATATAAAAAGGTCATTGTCATCCTACCTATTGTATTATCGTGGTTGACATCGAAGGTTCGAAACACGTGTTCAGCAAACTTTGTCGCATCCACAGTCTCGTAAAAATTTTTGTACAGCTCAATAAATTGTTCCTTGTTCAGGCGACCGGTTGGGCAGTCTCTACTGAACGCTGTGTACCATTTTTTCAGCTCATGTTCATCGAAATAGGTATGCTTTGCTAAATCCTGGAGTTCAGACGGAGGGATTTTGCTCTGTGCTTTCCCCATCAGCTTACTAGGAAAAAGAGTAGAGATCCTCATAGTAATTATATTGGTAAATATATTATATTACAGTCTGTTTGATTTTAAAGCACTGGCGACTTGTAAAAAGTGGTATTGTATGACATAATACTCGATAGTTGTTGTTGTTGTAATCACTTAATACACACGTTGAAGTATGAGGATAGAGACTAGATTTGAATTGAATGAGATTAGGGAATACATAGAATTAAGAAAAGATCCAAGTTTGAATCTAACAAGAATTCACGTTATGATTGGTTCAATTATACAATCCTCTATTGGAATTAGAATTGGAGCCTAAACAATAAATAGTTGTCTTTCTTATCCTGTATCTGTAGAACTGAGCTTGAGCCACCAGCATATAGAAATTTCGCGTATGGCTGATGGAGGTGAAATTTATTAGTCTTGTTGTTCTGTAGTTAAAGTTATTTGCAGCTCTTGTTTGTTTTATAGTTGATGGAATATCTAGCTGAATCTAGGGCTTTGTGGCCTGAAAAATCAAAGTTAAGAACTTGATGAGCCTGCATTGGGTACCACAATAACAATGATAACTTCCAAGTTCGCAACTGTTTAAATTACTGTTTTACTGCTCGATTTCATCTGAATTAAGGCAGAACTGTAGATTCTTCGGTGTATGGAACAGGACGGCTCTCATTGTAACTCTCATTGCAGTTCTTGCTTAATGCGATCATTCGGCAACTGTCCCTGGTGTCTTTACTTACTTACATGGTTTAACCTTGTATCTAAGACGAGAAAGTTTAATGTTGGCTTAATGAAAGTTAGTTCCAATGACTGCTAAGATGGGAGCTGTTTACTGCTATAAATTTTGATTAACTGATCTCATTCAAGGGACAAAAGCATCGTGTGCTTTGGCCAGGAAGACCCTAGAAAACATGGCGGACAAATGGCCGAATACCGTTAACAAGGTCAATGAAAACCCAGCCTTGCTTTTTTTGTTTTGAAGTTTCTCAGAGCTTCAAGGTATTAGCAGGAAGAAAGCTTAATATTTTCATCGGCTCTGCAGTCATACAATTATGGGGTCTCATTTTCCATATTATTGTTTAGGAGAAAATTTTGATGATATATTCACGATGATATATTGACGATATATCGACGATATGTTCATGCTATATTGACGATGTGTCCACGATATTTTGACGATATTTTGACAATATTTTGACGATATATCAACGATATATCAACGATATATTGACGATATGTCCGTGCTGTATTGATGGTATATTGATGATGTAGTGCGGATATGTAGACAATGTATTGACAATGTGTTGAAGATATGTTGAAGACAATTCTTATATGAGAATATTTTTAGAATCATTGGTCTAGAAAGGCTTTTTTTTCATTTAGGCCTTATGACAGGCTAATGTATGGTGAAAGATGGAGTTCATTGTTTCTTTCGAACTCTTCAATGTATTTGAGAAATAAGTGATGGTTGATTAGTCTAAAGAATGGGACAACTTAAGAACCCAATTCTTTGTGACCTGGGTCAGGATGCAAATTTCCTTTCACTTTTCAATTGTTATCCGACTTTTTTTGTTGTATGAGGATTGTCGAATGAATAGTGTCCTAAAGCGCTATGCTTCCCTTTTTCGTGCTATTTTGATATTATTCTTTGCTAGGATTTCTCTTTTCTAGAACTCAAACAAGAACTGATAGTTTAAGTGAATTCAAATTTAACGAGAAGGCTTTTAAAAACGCGAGTCCGGTTATCTTCAAAACTGAGCCTTTGCAGGTCACTTCTGGAGGATGATCTGATAAAGATTGGCCTATTAGTGCGTATTTCATTAAACTTGCAGTGTGAGCCTTCTTTTATAAATTCAAAAGTTTTCCAGAGATATAATTGAAAATTGTATATGGTTATTAACATACTGTGTGAGAATTGCTATTTCTACAAAATGCCCTTTGGTCTTTGAATAGGATTTGTGATGATGTCATCTACATAACAAAATATTCATAAAAATGATTCTGTATAGTGGAGGATTAAAATTGTTTGACCTAAGAATTTATCAGTAATCTACAGTTTCTATCTTAGAGAAATCAGATTTTACTTGTAATGGTGTATTGCGATAAATTTCGGTTATCCCATCAAGGAAACAACACAAGATATTTAGATATTGTATTGGAAACACAGACTTTTGAAATCTACTTTGGCTCGATCGAGATTCGAATATTAAATCAATTATTCCATCATAGCTATACGTAGTTCTTATTTAATCTGATAGCAAAACCAAATCATCGTAAGAAGAAATTTCTTGTTTTAATTTTTGACTGCATTTCTTATGACTCCCGTATGAACTATTTTAATGTATATTTTTCGCCCTCGCCAATTGCAAAAAGAACGTAAATGTTATCCATTGAGATCTAGTTGATTCTTCGCTTGAATTTCTGTAAGGATTTGCAACTGGTAGATTTTTCCCTAGCGTTTGCAGGGCAGGACAATGTGTCTTTTAGGTCTGAAAACAAAGAAGCGTTTGAATTTCTAATATTTTGGGATGAGTATTGAAAACAACATCTGGGGCCCAGAAAGCAATTGGTCGAAACATTTTATAACAAGCATTTTTGGGAAAGAGAAAAAATTACAAATATGCAAATAACAGGGAGGAATCGAGCTCGCTATGATCTAAAGATGGATCCTAATTCATCTTTTTATTAATTTCATTAATTTTATTTAAGAAAAAAACCATTGGAGATGATCGTATCATTTGCTTTTATTTGCAAAATGTGTAAATTTACTGCAAATTTCATCAACTTCAAGGTATTATGCATTAAAGCTATGCTTCTAATTTCTGGTTTTTTATTTGAATAACTCTTACAATGCCGACAGCTCTTGCAGCCTCTTCAGTTACCATTGCGAGAAAAATTGCACAAAAATTACACCGTGTAACACAACCTAAAGTACAATGCCAGTTTTAAAGAATCCTTAGAGTTATCTGCAAATAGAATGTGTTGTACAAGGTTGTAATCTTGTCTATGGGATTGTTTAGTAATTGACAGCTAGACTGCCACGTGACATTTGTCAATTGTTTATGTGTAGACATTGTTAGATCAAGCTGCATTTGTGATTATTAATTTTCTTTCAAATTCTGTAAGATCAGCTGCTCCCATTTTCAACTTCTGGTCTAGCATATTCATTTTGATTTAAACTTTAGTTTAATGAAAATTCATTTTTAAAAAAAATGCTGTTTTGTATTCTGTCACAAACAGCATACTATTTGCTGTCAACGAGACGAAGTAGTTATACTGTCATTATCCTCATCAAATGTCTGTTGTAGCCATGTTTTGGTTACTGGTGCAAAAATTAGTAATTCTTTTCTATGGTTAATTGCTATTGTCGATGGCAATAGGCAGACAGTCATTTCAATGTTCAGATTGCGCGTCAGATCTAATGACATTGGATGAAGTGAAATGCAGATCTTGGCTTTAATCTGTGTTTGCTATTCCAACTAATTGTACTTCAAAGTACCTCAAATGTCACCTTAGTCATAATAGCAACTATCACAACGCGTAATATGTAGGCCCCAACTCTTCTGTTTCTCTTTGAGAAAGCTCGACTTTTTGTACCAATACATATATTGAACGTCGCCTTATTCAAAAAGCCCCGTTTGTCTACGTGAACTGTAGGTCCCGATATGTATGGTCGACTTGCTGCTCTTTGCATAAGTCGAGTGTCAAAAAAAGTCAGCACGACTCCTATGGCTTTTTCCACAAGGTCTTCAGTGACTGGCACAAGAATGTGCTTACGACGGTATGGGAACGTCTTCATGTGACTTTGCAGACGTCCCCGCAATGTCACCGACGTCTCTATCAAGATGAAAAAGTTTTGATGAGTTGAAAAATTTGAAACGTCGCTAACGCATCACCGTCGTGTTCCCGTCGATGCAGGGATAATTTTCCGCGCGGAAATCGAATTTTTTGTGATCGGCAACGTCGGTATGCAGAATTTATCGCTTGGTTCTTGATATCAATTCTAAAATGCGTTGCAAAATTAATCAAACCATTAAACAAAATGTAAATGTAAGGCCAGCTGTCAGAGTCGAGCAACTAATGGGAGGAGTTCAAGAGTCAGAGAGTGAAAGAAAGTGCTTGGAAGTTCAACTGAAAAACGGTCAAGATAGAATGCTGCCAGGACCAGATTTTCTTGACACTTGGAAACCCTCAGTGCAATAAGGTCAGGACCTGGAAAGAGTAGTTGTTCAAGGAGTAGCTGCTTACAAAAATTTGGAAACTAGAATATGTCATCGGGAACGCGTCCCGTCGTTTGTGTCACTGGGAATGTAGGACCCGTCTGCTCTGTGTGTCTGTTTGACTTGCTGTAATAATGCTTATGTCAACGTTATCAACGTGAAATGACAGTCCTGTTTAGGAATTCCATTTACGGTATTAATTATGCGTAAGTCGAATGTCGGCTAAATCGAAAAGAACTTACGATGTAGGTGCCGAATTTTTTATGTGTTAGTTCGACTTATTGTTACTTGTCCCGTTCGATTCGACTTACGAAAGCTTCTCTGCACTGTAAACATCTAACAAATACCTAAGCGATCTCAACAGATCATAGCATGCTCTCATTGATAAACTATAGCTTGTGTAATTTTCAATAGCGAGAAATTTGTGCACCTTTAAAAAACTTTGAGGTTTTGTATGTATCTCCCCTGTTATTTAATCATCTACATCTCTATTAAGCGCTAGATATGAAATCAACTCGAAAATTGTCTTGAAGTATGTAGTCTTGTTAATCCAGTTATGTATTTTAAATCTAAAGATTCTTGCATGTTAGTCTTCTTGCGCTTGCACCTTTTCGCAAAAACCTTCGTAAAACAAAACTAATTTAATACTTTTAACTGGTTGTGTCCCCATTAAAATGTTAAATCATTTTTAAAACCATCTAAAGTGTTCAAATATTATCAAAAGTGTTTTTCAACTTTCCTTAAATAGCCCCTGCTATCGATCTCGTGAATCTTACGACTGCATGGCAACGTA